GAACTGGCCTCATCTCGAAAGATCTCTCGGCCCACCTATCGAGAGCACCCGCGTGGTCGCAACCTCAGAGAAATAGGGAGTACCCTCTCACAGGCCACGGTCACTTCCCGCCAGACCACGCACCCGTGTCGAGAAGACTCCTCGCACAATGCTATGGGGCTCGCGTGTCGTTGCAAGGTCAGACACCCGATGAGCAGTCGCTCCCCGGCTACGACAACTCGTCCCCATACTATGACCACCCACTTTCGCGCTACGAGCACTGACGAATGCTGACTGAAGCGTCCAGATGTAGTTCAGGCGCTAGCACGTGTCGCCTTTCTCATGGGTGAACTAGCATCCGCTTGTAGCCTCTTGAACGGATCCTATCAGCCGCCTTCGAGTCCGCACTCGAAAACTTACCAGCTCAATGCTCATCACGCCGAAGAGCTCAGAGCGCGACAACCCAATCTGATCGTGGCATTTGTCCGCTTGAGAGGTACACTCTGGCTACGTCCAGATCGAGCGGAGGATGTGGGTACCGTGACGCCACGTAGAGTATATAGCATCGTCCAGGCTGAACGCCAGAGGTCTAAGATATTGTTCGTCAGCAGAGTAGAGGATCCAAGATCAGAATGCAGAGAAACAACTGAGATTGAGCCATAGCTATGGTGGTAAATAACTATCCGCCTCCCCATGGCAGCTAGGAGCAGGGCCGCAACAGCTGAGAAAATCTGAGAACGCTGGGGGGCAAATTGGCTGCCTTGCCATAGGGTTTATTATCACTGTATAGGAACGATCAGCAGGTTATCGGGCTGGCCCCATAACATCAGCGGAGTTATGGTTCGAAAGCTGGAGTGGTATTCGCACAGGTTTGGCAGCAACGCATTTGTTCCCCCCACTCGCGAATCTGAATCCATCTCAGAGGTATACCGATAGTACAATACTCCATGATAGACAGTTATTCTGCAGGGTTGCACTCTCCACACAGTACATTTCGCAAAATTGTTCAGAAAGAGAAGGCTTTTGAAGAGCAATAGACCCCTAAGCGTTGTGTGACCCGTCCAGGAACGTAGAGGAAGCTGACAGGATGGGTAGCAAGCAGCATCGGAAGTCTGACATATGCAGGGCGGCGGTATATTACTGGTCGAGCATGATGGCAGATTCTTCTGCTAGACGCCACGGGACGCCTTCCAGGCCATGCCTCTCAACACAGCCATTCATTTTGGGCATACTCCATGCTGTGTGCTCCTCAAGGAGCCTGGTTGCAAGGGTGCCAACAGGCTTGCCAACAGGCTTCGACATCGTGGCGATTGCTCGCCGCGGCAGACGTTGTGAGCGCGCTCTTCACAAGGATATTGTAGTCGCCGAGCTATCCCGCTTCCCAAAGACGGTGTCGATGAATGCGTAAGCCACCACCGAGGCATCCGCCCGCGGCTATGCGTGCCGAGCGCAATCCGTTGACATCGGTGGGCTGATGGATAGAAGAAAGGATCCGCACATCCGCTTCCGTCCTTAGGGATATGGCGTGAAAAGTGTAATGAGCTGACGGAGACGAGGTTCCCTTGCGCTCGGGAGACTACACTGCTGGTGGATCCTGCTCCCTACGGCCACGATCTCCTGCGCCGTTCGCGTCATTTCCATCCACAACAAGCCATATTCTGTCGCTGGAGTGAGGCCGGCTGCAAATTGGGATAGGTATCGGCCTTGAGTATTGGTTGTTGGGCGCAAACCTTCAGAGGCCAGATCACCCGAAGACGGCTTCGGTCACTCTTTGACGTAATCCTTCGTTGCGCAGGTCAATAGCGGTAATGTTCGCGGAGCTGTGCAAGAGAAGTGGAGCGTTGGCACGGAGCAACGGTGGGGCCTTGGGCGCTGTTATTCTTGCTCGATATGAAGGCGTGTAGAGGACGTTTGGGAATCCACAAGTCCCTCTTTGTGGATGTTCGCGCAGAACCCGGGATACCGCGTATCATGGCGGACGTGGAAGGGAAATGGCAGATCCCCTTGTGACAGCTGCGTGCTAGTCTCAACTTCCTCCGCGGCTGCTCCTTGACGTGTCCGGGGCTAGTTGCGTCGTTCGAAGTCCATTCAGCCAAAACAGGCACGGTAACCACTCAGACGGGGAATCAGAAGAGCTGATTTTGCAGGTGGCGGCAGGAAAGACCCCCCGTCGCCCTGTAACGGGGTGATAGAGTGGTCGATCGACGAGTCGAAGGGTACCGTTGCGGCAAAGCACAAGGACTCCATACTGTGCTGAATATCATCGGACTTGGGAGCTCTCTTTCGTCGTCGTGACCGCTCGAACAGCGTCGAGAAGATTTGATGCGACCGACCAGGAACGGCGTATGGGAAGGGCAGACCTTCGCCCCAGTTCTAACGCCTTTGGTGGGCATGAGGCGTGCTGAGACTCGATTTCCGTTCCCCGAGCTTTGGCTGCGCATGTGATGTCTCACTGGCATCAGAGGTATTCGGCAGCATCTACAGCGCGTGCAGCCCTCTGAACATCCATACTCTATGTGGGACCCCAGGGTGTGATCAGTCTTTCAAAGCAGCGATACGAGCCGACGATGGGTGGGTTTGATTTGTTCTCAACATATGCTGGAACCCTCTCCGTGTGCCGATCTCCAACTCAACCGGGGTCCTCTGCTGAAATTGGCTCACCTGCGCTGTGAGGCGCAAGGTCAGGGCCGAAGAGCGCCAAACAAACCTCTGGAAGCCGATATCCCGTCCTTGCGATAGCAGAAGCCACATTCCCGATCATGGAGCTTCGAGGTACCGACAGGCCATCAGTCGAAGCGTGAGCCGCGTAGACACTGTAGATGTAGGCGGCGATGTTCTGCTGAAGCAAAGCGGTGGATCGCCAACGTTGTAGCGTATCATCGACACACTTCTCGGGGCGCGGGCATCTACACTTCTCTCGGCGCGTGGGTGTCGAGACTTCTCTCCGGGCGTGAAGCGGACGTTTCACCACCTCGCCATTTGGAGGCGTGTGTCGCAAAGCTCTGTGCTCTCACACAAGTCCGCCCAACCTTCAACGTATCTGGGTGCTTGTGATGCCGAAAGTCGTCAAGAGAAACGCAGTCATCGAGGTCAAACTTCGTGTTTGTGGAATAGCGGAGGATGAGGCGTGCATGTCGTGACAGGGATTCCCTTCAAAATTGATTCCAGCGTGTAGCGGGACTTTGCCGTCTGTTGACCATACGCCCTCGCCGACGATGCTCGCCTCTATATAATTCACCGAGTTAGATCAACACTGCCCTGTCCCTGTCTCGGTACTGCCGAAAGTCCAGCAGGTCCAGGTACGTATCCACCGTGGCTCTTCATCGCCATCGATGATCGCTTACCCTCAAAGCCAGTGTGGGCTGATTTTGCCAAAGTCTTCATGGGTGCCCCTGGAGTTGTCGTGGACCACAACGGTCGCGGAAGCCTCCGTCTGATGTGGAGATCCGCAGCAAGGAAATGACCGGGATTGGACTGCAACCATCGCCGTTCGCAGAGCCCCCCTTACTGCTCAATCTACCATGAGGGAATTCCTCGGTCTCAGGATTTCCGAGCCAAAGAACTGATATGGATTTGCCCACTCGTCAAGGGGAAAATCCGGATGGACGAGCCATTCGCCGAATCATGACGGGGTTGGTGGCGATACCGGGGAAGTACACCAGGGGTTTGAGGTCGCTGCAGCAGTCCATTGGCTGGAACGACCCAGCTTGCCGGGCAGATGTTGAGGACACCGCCAGGATGTGCTTCGGAGCATGATCAATGTACATAAGTTCCTTTCGAAGAGGTGAAATCAGACGCTTAGCATGGATCACCTTGCTCTGAAATCATCTAACAAGATTGGCAGTTCCTGTGTTTTGTGGCCCCCCATCTGATTGGGATCAACAACACGCCTTGTGTCCTCCACTTCGCGCAATGCCTCGAGTGTCAGAGATTGAATGCGCCTCGTGAAGGACGCCTTCGCATGATTGCTGTACCCTTTCCAAAGCCTGCTGATTCGCCGTTCCGGACCTCAGTCCACTTCGTGCTCGTCAAATCTCCATTCCCATATCATCTGACACAGTTTTCCTCGTCTCGATTTGTTCCACCTCTTCCTGGTCCACGTCGTACCGGTGAGGTCGCGCAGGAGCATCGTTTCGGAGAGGAATAACGCTGGACGCGTGACGAGGTGCGGATAGATGTGGAACGCGGCGGATCTTGGACAACTGTCAAGGCTTGAGTGTTGTTGTCTCTGGGTATGGTTTGAGGTGATGGAACGCGAATCTTCGTTGTGCTATAGACTCTGAATTGACTCCAGCAGGCACAAGAGATCTTTGGGGCGCTCCGAGCAAAGTTGGATACAGCACGATGTCACTGACAGGCTGAACCTGCGTAGGGTGCTATGGGCTTGGTCGGGTGGACATGAGCAGATCCCAGCATCGTGGATAAAATCTCAAAAGGAATGAGTGGCGTCCAGATTCGCTCAGAGTATCGTGTGGGAAACGGTCGGAGTCGTGAAGGGAGAATCTTCGTGGCAGTGCTGGAATCCTTTGTGTTTGTTGAATATTACTCTATTCTCGGTGATCGACCTCTTTTGACGAAGCATTGGCCCAAATTTCAAGCCACAATCAGACGATGTTTTGGAGTAACGCACCAAAGCGTAAGAACTTCTCTCAGTCTCGCCATAGCCTGTACTGAGAGCAACGAAGGCATTCCTATCCGAATTGATATCAAAGAATGAACACGTTAAACCCAAAGCCTTTTCCGTGACCTCGCATGAACACGCGACGCCCCGCCACCCGCTCGTTCGACAAGAACCTCGCTGCTCCACGGACTGTCGGCGAAGACAGAGAACGAGGAGCCAGACTGCGAATGACTTGCGCTTTTACGATTGGGGCTTCCTTCACCAACAAGTCAAACCCACCTCCTCGGGCGCCTCGCAAAATATCATTTTCTGTAACATTATCGGGTTATCTTAGATAGGACTGTAAAGTATAAGATTACCCTTTAGACTCCCTTTAACACTGACTATCTCACCACAGTCTCTAAGTGACGTATCTCCAGCCTTTCGGGATATTGTTCCTTTCTTCTTCCTCCCTCAATTTCTTGTTGAGCCTGATAGAATACCAACGGCAAACTATGCAACCCAGAATTCCCATCACACATCCAGCAATGATCATCAATCCACCATTCCGGTAGAGTGGTTCCTGAGACGTAGGCTAGAACAGTGGTTAGTCAGGATATCTTCAACTGGCAGTCGAAGTGCTTACGAATAAATACGGGCTGAACCAATGTGAAACGGAACTGATGCAATTGGTTATTGCTAGTAGTGCGGCTCGCTTGGTTCGGGGGCGTGGGACATTGGCCGTTTCCCATGGGATATGAATCTGTAAGAAGTCAATCTCGATCCTTGTGTTTCGCGGACCCAACTTACATTCAAGCCGACGAAAGGACCCGAGCACATGAGGAAGATACCAAAGTATCTTGCACCGGGACTGTAGGTCGAGATGGCAATGACTGTGCCGACAATACATGCTGCCGCGGTGCCGACAATGTGCCAACAATGTTCCATGTACCGTCCCGAGGACCACGACACAGCACAGGTCAAAAGGTAAGCAAATATGAAAGGCGGCGCCTGGATCAGATAGGTCATGAGCTGCGAGTATCCCAGGGTCTTGATGATCTGTGATATGGTCAGCCAGGGTGTGGATGAGTCTGGTAACAGCCACTTACCGATGGCAGGAAGTCTTTGTACGATAGACCGAGGATGAGACCGAAATGCAAAACTGTGAAGATCCAAGTAAATGGATCTTTGATGGCAAGACCGACACCCTCCCAGGCACCACCTTCGTCATCTTCTGATCTACCACCTGCTGAAACCATCATTCTGTATTGCGCCATCTGCGATTGCTCGGCGGTGAGATACGCTTTTCCGGTATTATGGGGATAATTTGGCAGTAAGAAGTACCCTGCAATAGCAAGGAGGATACCGATCGATCCTGCATGTGTCAGTCGCCATGACATCTACATGTTCTGGGACAGTCTCACCCTCGATAATCACAAACCACTGCCATGCACGAAGGCTGGCGACGCCTTCCATGCGGGTGAGGATGCCTGCAGCCAGGAGACCGGAAAAAATGTTGGAACCGATGTTGCCGGCATGCCAAATTGCCATTCTGATTGGCGCCTCCTCTTTGGTGTACCAACTTGACGTGACCAGACTGACTGCAGGGAGAAATGGACCTTCCGCAAGGCCGACAAAGAATCGACAGACAAGGAAGGACCAGCCCGAAGTCATGACCGCCATGCAGAGGGTGCCAGCCGACCACATAAAGACATAAAAAGGAAGTTGCCTCTGTGGTTTACCCTTGGCAAGGATCACTGTGGCGGGAAGCTGTGATATGATGTATCCGACATAGAAGAGTGAGATGCCGGCATTCCACATAGTGTCGGACATTTCAATATCCTCCTGCATACCGGCCAGGCGAGCATTGGCGACGTTGATGCGATCGAGGTAGCTTGATCGTATCAGCCGGATGCGACCGAGGGTTTCCAATGCCAACTCACCCCATCAACAACATCAGTGTCACAATGGGAAGCATGACCCAATCCAATTTTCTTTTCAGCGACTTCTCGATGACCCTTCTCTCCTCGGTTGTTTTGAATGCCAGAAGGGGGTAGTGGTGAAGGAATTCCTCGCCGGCCGACACAGCTTCTCCCAATTCCGCGACTTGCTTCACCTCGGTCGCCATGTTTAGCTCTTTGCTATCAGAGGTCATGTTCAGGACTCTTGCTCAAGTAAAGGATGATATCCGATGGAGGACGAGACTGATTTCGAGCCAGCCTATCTACCTATTAATATAGTATCTTGGTTCCCCAGGTGTCCCCAACACCCCTTTGCCCCGGCGGTTCGTTCTCATCCCCGGAACATCTACTCGTAGATGGTGTCTTCGATAACTTCGGCCGCGCCAAGGTGGCTAGACCTTGGCGCTCCGGATTCCCCCAAAGCTGAGAGGTGGGTTCTGGCCTCAGGCTTTTGCCAAGAAGAGGTTTCCGAGTCCCATGAGCAGCCCATGCCGAAGATGTCCTTGGCAAGATTGAATGTTCGGCGTTTTGCCACAAACCCAACCCGTGCCACAGTTGTTGAGAAAACACCGAAGCGGATTTGGGACCGAGCTACAAATATTGCCGTGACTTGATCCAAGTCGTATCATGTGATGATGGCATATACTAGCAAGGGGCTTCTCATGTTGATTTACTGAGCTCGACGTTCTGGGCGGATAAGATGCAGCACGTCACGACAACCCGCGAGGGCAACGTCTTCACCATCACCATGCACTGTGGCGAGGAAAACCGGATGACGGTGGCATTCTGTCGCGAGATGATAGCGGCCTTTAACAGCATAAGGGAGACGCTGGGAAATGGCTCTGCCGGAGCAGTCATTGTGCAAGGAAGAAATCCAAAGTTCTGGTGTACTGGAGCAGACTTGAATGAACGAGAAGTGCGACCTCATGCCAACACGGAAGGCTTCTACCCAATGATTCATACCATCTTGGACTTTCCCTTTCCGACAATTGCACTGATCAACGGACATACCTTTGGAGGTGGTTGTGTGTTCGCGATGGCGCACGACTACAGGGTCATGAATGGCGAGAGAGGGTTCTTGAGAATGGTATGCTCACTTTTGGACACTGTCGTCCGCAGCAGTTTGACACTCGGAAAAACTGACGAGCTCATGCAGCCGCCTGTGGACATTGGTTTACACTTCCCTGGCATGGGGAGCCTTCTTCGCGCTAAATTACACCCGAGAGTAGCGAGGAAAATGCTGCTCGAGGCGCACAAATTCACGGGCAAGGAAGCTCTAGAAGATGGAATAGTTGACTTGATAGTTGAGCCCTCCGCTCTGAGGAGGACGGCACACGACTTGGCCAGGCGGGTTGCGCCTAAGGCTGCTGCTGGAGTATACGGCGTGCTCAAATCCGAGCTGTACGGTGAAGCAGACCGCGAGTTCCAATTGATCAGCATGGTGTACTCTAGGCCTACCAGTAGACAGCCGAAGCTTAAGCTGTAGTAATGCGGCACCGGGGGTGCTCGGGGGATATGCGCCACCGCCTAGACGCCAAGCAAACAGGTCCTCTTCGGCGCAGAACCATCAAGTGTCCTCACACCCACCGCCGGCAGTCCATACTATCAAAGCATTTCGCCGTACCTCGTAATGGTACTGGATTCCTCGTCCAAGACTGCATACGCGTGTGTCACGTGCCATAACAGGAAGGTTGGTACCATGCTCTATCAATGCAGTCTAAGCTCAGAGAGAGCCAGGTCCGATGTGTGATGGTCGGAGATGGGCCAGGTTGCAGGGCCTGTAGTAATGCGAACATTGACTGCATGTAGGCATAAATCTGTGCTCGATGCCAGCCCAAGGCTAACCAAACACTCAGACCTCGCTCACGCAAGAAGCGTGAATGCAGTACTGTTGTCTCGACCGCTCCGAATCGTCGCAGAAGGTCAAGATCGTCTCCAAGCACAGCCGTGCCCCAGCCGTCCCATTTCTTAAACAGCATTCTGATCCCTGTCGACCAATCGACAACGCATACACCAATTTCCTACGCTGCTGTTGCTGACGGGCCCTTGAACCAGCGCTCGGCACTGCACGCTGCCACCTCGCCACCATGGACGCAATCCCGACCAGAAGCATTCTTTAGTTGGCCTGCTCCTCCTCCCGCTCCGCATGTTACCTCCAATGATGGATTGGACTATCCTTTCGGCAATTTGTCCACAGAACCACCGATCCCAAGCCATGGCGTCGACGTGCCTCCCAAAAGTGAACGACAGAGCCTGACCAATTGTTTCCTCGAGTACTGCAATCCGTGGCTGCCAATCGTGGAGCACGCCGACCTGGCGAATCTTGCGCGAATCGAGCAGCAGTCAGCTTCGATGCTTCTCGCACAAGCACTGTGGTTTACGGCGAGTCGCATCGACCAATCTTCCACCGCACCGAGCCAATTTTACCAACGAGCCAAAGCCCTCTTCTGGTCTGGCAGCGAGAGCGATCCTCTTGTCACCGTCAAGGCTGCGTTGATGCTCATGTCGCAAGATCGGCAAGCGACTGGACACGTTACGGTGGACAACAGTGAGCTTTGGCTTCACGTGGCAGTCACGATTGCATACAGGATCAAGCTGCACAAAGATCCTCGGCTCGACTCCAAAAGTGGCATACGTCGGCGATTGTGGTGGACCATTGTGGCACAAGATTCCTTGATGTCTTTGTTATACGCTAGTCCTCGAGCTGTCAATCTCATGGACTCTGATGTCCGAGGACTAGATGACAGTGATTTCGTCGACAGCCAAGCCGATCCTGCCGCCTTCAGCTTGTACGTGGACATCAGCAAGGTCCTAGGCGATCTGACCGAGTGCTACCGGCGTGGATTTATGGGCTACATGCACAATTCAAGTATTGAGAACAGCCTTCATATCTGGCGCATTCGCCTGTGTCAGTATGAAAGTGTGGATGCCGACCGGGATGTCCCACAGTCAACAGATGAGAGCCTGACAGTTCGGCAATTGAGGCTGCCTTATTTTGCAGCTCTAGTGCTGTTTTCTCAGAGCCAGCGCACTCTATCAACCGGCAAACGCTCCTCCGTATCGAGCTTACCGATATCGGCCCTTGCTTCGATCGCTGCTTCGTTGAGTGCTGAGACCTTCAAGAGCATTCTGGATCATGACGAGATCCAATATCTCGGCCCTGTGTTCACAATCTACGCATACTCTGCAAGCATGGCGCTCCTCCGACTCTGGGCCTACCCAAGGCTGTGGAACGCCGCTCAGGCAGATCTGCAGACATTGCGAAAGGCTTTGTTGAGTCTTGCAAGACATGATTCTAGTGTGGCTAACGCGGCAAAAGCTTTGGACCATTGCCTTGAATGCCTGAAAACAACAGAGCAGTATCGTCCTGCTGATCTGCCCAGTGTATCCGACAAGGCACTCTGTCTCAAATTCCTGGAGACCATGTCACCGGCGGGTTGCCGGCTGTGGAGCCACATTGCAGAGCTCGTTGACGACCCCGGGTCTCTTGGTGCAGACCGGACACTCAATTCACTGGCCCGTGGAGAAACGAGGGCTGACGCCGCGACCGCCTTCCGGTCAGAGCGCACTCGTTGGTTTTCAGATAACTCGCTTTCCAGCCACGGGTTTGCCTATGATCAGTTTGAAGACTGGATCCTACACAATGGCTGAATACAATGAGACGGAAGACGATCTTTTGACCAAGTAGACACCGACTTTTATTTTTGATCAAAGCATACTCTTCGCTTGTGACATCTTGAGCATTCTGAGCTTCTCAAATTGTTTCTGAGGTATACCGGCGACACTCCTTGCCATTCCCTCGAACACTTCGTCCACATTCTGAGCGTGGAGTTCGCGCCTTTGCTTGCCTCTAATCAACGCTTTTATCCGATGCATGCTCTCACCATTGAGATGATCGCCAAACCCATCTTTGATCTCGTCGAGCACGGCCCGTTCGAATGCCACGTCATCACCGCCCTCGGTCTTGAAGATACGGTCGACGAAGCCGCAGCCTAGCAGCTCATCTGCTCCAAGCCTTCGGCCCTGGATCAAAGCTTTGTTGGCCTTGCCGATCCCCATACGCTCGACGAACGCTGCACTTGCGCCTCCCTCCGCCACCAGACCAAGGCTTGCGAATGGAGTCTGCAGATAAACGTGCGGTGTTGCATAGATGAAATCGGAATAGGCAATCATGGCCGCAGACATGCCGATGACTGGGCCGTTGAGAGCGCTCACCAGGATTTTGGGGTGCATGTAAAAGGCCCTTGCCAGGTTGAGATTTGATGCTACCGTGTAGGTCAGGAAATGTCGATACAGATCCGTGCCTGGTGGTTGTTTGCGTGACACGGATACATCGGCGCCTCTACCGTCGTTGTCAGTCTCATGTACCAGGACCCTAAATCATGACTGGGTAGTGTTACCACTTACGCAGAGAAGAATCGCCCTCGCCCAATCAGCAAAGTCACCAGGATTTCATCTCGAGCCGCAACTTCGTAGAGAAAAGTCGCCAGCTGATAGTACAGGTCTTTCGTCAACGCATTCAACTTGCTTGGGTTGTTCAGAGTGATGACGGCTAACCTGTCGCGATACTCGAGTGTTACCTTGTCGTCTTGTGTCATTTTGCTGGCCATGGTGAGCGGGGGTTCAAATTCGCCTGGGCGTGTGTGGTGGGAGAGAAAGCGACCTCACCAAGCTTTTGACCGTACAACTCCACCTCACGATTTTATCGAGGGCGGAATATACCCGTGGGGCGTCGAGAATCTGGGGAGGACATTATCCGTTCAGAGCAGAGGGAGAAGAGTCCCGGGGTCCCCAGCTCGATACTGCCCACCCTTCCACCCCGGGGCCTCCATCATAGATGGCCGAAGACCTCCGAACCTCCGAACAACCGAGCCACCGAATCACCAAGCTTTCATACAGTTCGCTTCCATAGTCCTCTACTACTCGGCACGGGTTGTGAGAAAACGCCGAAAGCTTCGTGATGAGTGGGGTCTATAGACCGTCTCCGTATGTCATGACTATGCTAAAGCATGGCCCTCTTTGCTTTGCACTAGGCTTGACGGTCCATTGTGCCCTGGTGAACAAAAGTTGCCGTGTCCAAACTTGTCCCACGGATCTACCTGACTGACTTGAACAATCACAACACGGGGATAAAAACCATCCTTTCAACACCTCTGGTAACAGTCATTTACCATTGCAGAAGCGCGCCATGGCTCAAGCAACGAACATCGACCGCTCACAACTTGTGCCACAGCATTCTGGCGATCACATTCTTCCCAACAACCCGCTCTTTGGCAAGTTAATTCGTCATGCCCGACGGGATCGTGTAGCTCTGCGGGATCGGGGTCTAGGTGTTGAGAAGACCTATGCTGAGTTGCTTGACGCCGTGCTAGCCTTTCGCAAAGTCGTCGAAGCATCTTTGTCGTCAAATACCCGCGCGAGGCTCCGCCGTGGCGATGAGGTCTACATCGGGGTCCTGGCCGCTGGTGGCTTTGAGTTCACCGTGGCGACTCTCACGGTTCTGGCGCTGGGCGCTGCAGCCGTGCCGATGTGTAAGTGAGGCAACATCGCTCGTCTACGACCTTGCTGACATTCTAGTCCCGACTGCACCCATCGACGAGCTCGTCTACTTTATCACCAAGTCGCAGCAGGTCGCCGTACTCGGCAGCTCGGCAGTGAAGGACACTGCCAAACGTGCAGGCCGACAAGCAGGCAACGTCACCACCATCGACATCCTGTCTCATCTGCCCAAGTCCCCGCGATTTAGAGCGTTGGACATTGCATTGTCTTCAGATCCCCCTCAAGACGACCGTGCACCGGGAATTGTCATCTTCACGTCGGGCACCACTGGCCGGCCGAAAGCCGTTGTCCACCGCCGCACATACACCCACGAAACGGCCACTTCGATCGGCGAGGGTTACGACCTTGGCCATGAGGATGTGCTCCTCCACTTGTTACCCGTCCACCACACCACGGGGCTTGGCACGTCTTTCTTCCCATTTCTGTGCGCCGGAGCATGCATCGAATTCGGCGGAGGTGGCAGCTTCGATGCCGAATGGGTCTGGGATCGTTTCTTGCAGGGCGGCCTGACCGTATTTTCGGCCGTTCCAACCATTTTCATGCGGTTGAAATGGGATTTCGAGCACAGAATCGCAAAGTTGCCCCCGAGCGAGGTTGCCCGGTTTGTTACGGCGGCGAACCAGTTCCGACTGTTGTTGAGCGGGTCAAGTGCATTGCAGGACAATGTGCAACAATTTTGGACCGAGCTGCGGGCAGGGACGCCGATTCTGACGCGGTACGGCGCGACCGAGTTCCCCGGCTGTCTGAAAGTGCCTCTGGATGCAAACCACAAGTTGCTGTCCAAAGGTTGCGTTGGTCTACCTGTGCCAGGCGTGGAACTGAAGCTGTCGGAAGGCACCCAGGGGGAACTGCTTGTCAAATCTCCTTATATGTTCGCAAAGTACGTCTTGACGCCATGGCTCCTTTGTGGTGTTGAACTGACATGTCCAGATATCTCTATGATGCGGAGGCCACCAAGCATGCACACGATGAAGATGGATGGTTCAAGACAGGCGATATCGCCCGACGCGACGGCGATTTCTACACCATCGTGGGTCGAGCCTCGGTCGATATCATCAAATCAGGCGGCTACAAGATATCGGCCACAGACATCGAAAGAGAGTGCCTGAATCTTCCTTATGTACAGGAGGCCATGGTGGTCGGTGTCAGCGACGAAGAATTTGGCCAACGTGTTGGCGCTGTCATTGCTGTGAAGCCCCAGGCAGCCAAGTTGACCCTGCAGCAGCTCCGCGCAGATCTTCGACACTCACTGGCGGGCTACAAGCTTCCCACCATTCTGCGTGTGGTCAAGGGCGAACTTCCCAAGGGCGTTACTGGTAAGGTGCAGAAGAAGGCTCTGGGACCAGAGCTCATCCCGTCACCAGGATATGAGCTGCTGCCAGAAATCCAGGTATGGCGGAGGTCTAAGCAAGGGGTCCAGTTACAGGCAAGACTGTAGTGAGGAGAGACGTGCAAACATAAGACACGAGAAGTTGCATTTTTATGTATTCGGCAGCGACTTTAGAGATTGGAAAACCAGTCTTCAGTATTGGTCCACATGAATTGTTCGAAATCCGCGTCATTGAATGCCCAATGATCTTCGGCTACATTGTCAATGACCGATGTGGCAACCGAGGGGATATTCGTGTCCGTTGTCGCATTCCCGTCCAAAGGGTCCGGAGCTCTAGGATTGAGTCTACAGTGTTCGTAGAGGCTGACCCAACTGAGGCAATAGTCACGCGGGAAGCAGTCGAAGAATCTTCTTTGGTGGTCGGTAAGCCACACGACCTGTACGGCTCGCCGTGGTTGTTTCTCACGTAGGGAAATAAAGTGTTCCAGAGCTCTCAGCCCTGATTTGGCCGACTTCCATCTTTGACCCAGTTCTTGGAGAGATTTGCGGAAAACATCCATGTCGGGTTGACAAGCGGTCCAAAGTTCTGAGAGAGGTTGCAACAAAGCCAGGAAAAATCCAGAAGCGATGCAGTATCGTGAGAAGATTGGTGCGAGATGTTTGATTTCATCCCGCGCAAGAAAGTCCCGGAAGATGCCTGCAACGAAAGATGCCGCGATGACAGGTTGAGCCGAGATTGTTTCATTTTTAAGTGAACGACCGATGATGGCGAGGCTGAGCAGGTATGGAAGGTGAAGTTGGCGAAGATTGAGCTGAGACTGCAATGACATGTATGTCTCTGTGCTCACGCCAAAATTGGGGAAACGAAGGTGGTTGGGAACCTGGGAAGGCCATTCATGCAGAAGGTTCTCGAAGTTTTGATGCTTTGCCAGCGTCATGGTGTTTCTTGAACATATTTCGGAGATATCACCCAGGATACAGCAAATATTCGTGTAGGCGACAAATAATTGTCCATCGCCTTCACCAGCGGCGTCTGCAAGTTCGTCTGGTCGTATAGGGGCCACATTGGTGTCGTGTCGGCTGATCGCCCGGGGCCGACCATGGGCTACTGTCATCAGTGCGTCCCGCGTCTGTCACTTGTATCAGCGTGAGAGCAAACTTGGAGAGTGTTGGACTTACCCTTAGAGTCCACCAGATTCTTCTCCGCGCAGCAGTGGTAGGTCCGGGCGGCGCCTCGCGGTGGAGACCAATCTGAACAGCTATGGCCACTCCTACTCTGAGCCAGAACTCGCCAGCATCGTAAGAGACTTGCTCTGGCCCCACGGGCGTATACCACTGCAACATGATAGTCGCTTTTATTATCGCCAACGCATCAAGCTCGTGGTTCATAAAGAAAAGAGCCTTGGCTCGCTGATAGAACTGATCTGGTGTAGCAAATGAATGTATACTTGAAGCAGTCGAGACCCGGCTCGCAGCCAGAAACATCGATTGACAGATGATATATGACGGAGCTTGCTGGTCGCTGTGATCCAGTTCGCCACGCGTGAGGACAGGTGTCCAAGGTTGACAGTAGGTTAGAAAACTATCGAGCAGACTGCGGAAGATTGCTCGTGGTGGCAACTCGAAAGCACTGAAGAGCTGTAGTACAGCATTTTCTGACTCGGAGGGCTGCCGCCGTGCGGACTCGGTGGCATCGCGAGCCTGTGTCTCATCAAATGGTGTATCATGGTCCAGATAGTGCGCCCTGCCAATGTACGTCTCGTTGTTGGGACTGGGATCTTGGGCACTGCCGACACGGAGAGCTGGACCTGACCAATTGGTCGACGACGGTGGGTCAATTATTGAAGCCGACTGTTGAGAACGCGGTCGTGGAAGTTCGCCCGTGGTGGCAGTCTCTTTGCCTTGTGGATATAGCGTGTTGGGATACGGCGATTTGGTGTACGAGAGAGTGTGTCCCTCGGTGCCAATGCGTCGTCGCTTTCTTCCTGAAGAGCTAAGTTTGTGAGCATGTTGTCAACGCCAGGGCAGACCAGGCGCGACACATACAAGCAGTCGAGTCTGCGAGCTTTGCAATTTTCGCAGGAATCATTTGCCGGCAGGAAAATGCATTCAGCCTATCGTTCGTCAGCACTTTGTTCTCCCAACAGCCAGAGGAGACTTGCCGAGGCTTGCTCACAAGCCAGACAAGCCGGGGTCTGAGACAGCATGACAAGTCGTGCTCTTGTCCAGGTTCAAGAAACGCTCAACTGGATCTGATTCATTGCGAATCCACCTGGAAGTCATCGTTCTTCCCCGCAACTCGGCGAAAACTTGATAGCTTGGGATTCTGTGTGATACCCGGATTTGATGATTTCCCCGAGTTTCCCCATGTTCGCGATAATCCCGATCCTGCCCATAAGATTGGACATTCCTATCCGCCACTGCAAATTTGCGGGGCACCATAAGGTGGAATCGCACAGATTTGCCAACCATTGCTTGTTCTATACGGGTAAGCTTGTTTGAAAGCTTCGGTGTATGCTTGTTGGCGCGGACGAGTTGAGCCAGCTCTGTGTCGGGTTGTCCGAGCCCGTATCCTCGGTCATTGCTTCCACGCGGTGCAATTTTGGCGCTCGGCGTTTTCTCCCACGGGCTCGACGCAAATAACCAAAGAATCTTACACTACTTAGTATGTTTTGGCGGAGTGTATGGGGATGGAGGCGATTCATGGTTTAAACAGAAATAATCATAAGTATCAGCGTGTGGCCGCCCCTTCGAGCCTCTGACAACATTCAATCTCAACAACTTTCACTTTCACTTTCCAATTCCATCGGAAAATGGCAAAATTTCTCGGGTTGAGGGGTCTGGGGCTCAAGACGGCCATGGTCGTGCTTGTCGTGCTGCCAAGTTTCATGCTGTTCGGCTGGAATAATGGCTCTACTGGACACGCAACAAACCTGGAATCCTTTGTCAAGGTGAACACACTCCAAGCGCTTGTCTGGGTTTGGAAACTTATCGATTACTAGCAATTCCCCAGAATCGACACCGTCAACACGAAAGGTGCTGCGAAGTCGTATAATGCTCTGATCCTGGGTACGCCCGCATGTTGAATCGCTTCCCCAGACCGTGCTGACAGGAGGTAGGCGTCGTCACAGCGTGCTATGATCTCGGGGCCGTTGTTGGCGCACTTTCCTGCATTTTCTTTGGCGATAAGCTGGGAAGACTTCGCACCGTTTTCGTGGGTTTGGTCTTATCGGTGATCGCACTTGCTATCGAAACCTCGGCCTTCTGGCTTGCACAATTCATCATCGGACGTCTACTCGTTGGCGGATCGATCGGAATCATCTCAGCGAGTATTCCTATCTGGCAAACAGAATGCGCCACCACCAAACATCGAGGCATGTTCGTCATCATGGAAGGCATCTTCATCAGCGCAGGTATTGCGTTGCCTAGCTGGATCTACCTGGGCACCATTCCAGGCCTGACCGGTTCGGCTCAGTGGAGGGTTACCATGGTTTTGCCTGCGGCCTTTGCCATCTTCGCGATGCCCTGGGTCTTTTTCATGCCGGAGTCGCCCCGTTGGCTTGCGCGCAAAGGACGACTCGACGAAGCCCGAAATGTTGTGGCGGCAATCATGGACCGGCCCCTGGACGACCCACAAGTCGTAGCAGAACTCCACCACATTCAAGGCCAGCTGGAGCTGACTACCGGCGGCTTCCGATCATTCTTCAAGCACAGCCCCGAACGTCCACTTCAACGCGCCTTCATTGCATTGCTGGCACAGAGTTTCACGCAGTGGAACGGCTGTTCAGCCATGATCTTCTACACCGGCAGTGTCTTTGCTGAGCTGGGATTTTCTGGTGAACGTGGCAAACTGCTCGCTGCTGGCTTCGTCACAACATTCACCGTGGCCGCGTTTATCCCTCTGTTCCTTGTCGATCGGATAGGAAGGCGGGTGCTCTTCATGATCGGTGCGAGCGGCATGTGCGTTTCGATGGCTGTTCTTGCCGGAACGGGTGGTCATTCCAATTTGGCACCCGTCGCACTCACCTTTATGTTTATCTATGCCTGCTCATACGCCATTGGATATCTTGGGCTTCCCTTTCTCTATGCCAGCGAAATCGCCCCGCTGCGACTTCGAGTCCCAGTCTCCGCCATCTCGGTCACGGGTCAGTGGTTGGGACAGTTTGTCGTTGGTCAGATTACGCCGCCAGGAACAGCAAATCTCGGCAGTCACTACTGGATCATCTTTGCTGTATTCAACGCAAGTTTCCTGCCTATAATCTACTTTTTCTTCCCGGAGACCAATGGCAAGTCACTGGAGGATATCGATGAGATGTTCGAAAGTTCCACCGCTTTGGGTGTTGTTCGCGCCTCTCGGCTTATTGGGAAATCTAGCGGATCAGGTGTTGAAAATGTCGTTTCGGACAAGGACCACAGCCTCAGCGATGTAGAACATATCGAGGCATAGAACCGGCGGAGCCAGAATGTTTAGATAGTAGAAAAGGTCTTCCTTATATTAGCCTTTTACCTCATATAGTAGCTTTTTATTATAAATCGCTCTACATAAGGTATTCTACGGTCTAACTAGTTTACTTATAGGGAGTTCGCAAGTGGTTTAGGCGAGTCGATCTTGTGGAGGGATGAAAACAGCCGCCGATGTGGAGATGGTGACATTGCTGTATGCTTTTCCCTGATTGAGTCTGCTCGCCAGTGCTAGTGTTTCAAGGCGCGCTGGGAGGGTCGACGGCTCGGTTGATGGAGATCCGATTCGTCTTAGTCGGAGGTGAACCCATAGAGAGTGGAGGTCTATGATGGATTGCCAACCAGAAACAACTGACACTTGGGCCCCGTGAGGTCTCAAAAGACGTACCTGGAAACCTGGAGCATCGTTTTCGGTTCGATGACGACGAGGAGACGCAGTGTGGGAGGATCACACACATGCGATCCTCGACGAGAAGCGCGGCTGTCTGGTAATCCGAGGCTGACCACGTTGCGACGAGCATGCGCGAACACCCGATAGGCCGCCTGAGAATCAGCATGAATGGAAAGGCTTATTTGACCAAATATGTTCCTGTTAATGAAATGCCGAGCTCGAGCAAGGCTGTGCGATGGTGAGGCTGCGGTGGTGTGGTATGGCCACTCCAAAAAAAATCTCAAAGTCTTCGCCTCTTTCTCTCTCTTCTGCACAACACCAACATCGAATACGACGACACAATGGAGCCCTACGGCGTGGAACACTGTACACATTGTGGTAAGCCTGTTGATTCCACGTGGTATTGTTGTAAATGTGGGCAACGCCTGCTATCTGGTTGTGGAGCCATTTCACAGAGATGCGTCAGCCTCAAACTTTTGGGCTTTCCTGGGTGTTCCACTGGAACAACTGGGAGCTGCTCACGACTTTCAAACCTCAGCCATAGCCAACACGGGCTTAGGCGACCGACCTGATCAACTGCGACTCCCTGGGGGCCAGCAGTCTCTGACTGCATCTCGAAGTGATTCTCGAGACAACGGTCGTGGCTTTCCGTGGTCACAGACTCGGACATTCATCGGGCACTCGCCCTCAGGCTACGGGCAGTCCGGCCACTCGCACTCACCCCAGGCCACGATCACTCGCTCTTGGGCACGGGCACTCGCTCTCATGCTACGAACTCCGAAGAGGACGCTGAGGATTCCATCATGCTGGAGGACAACAACGAAGAGAAACCTATTCGAGCCGCCAAGTCCCGGCGACAGTCAAATCCAGCGGTCTCGACTTTGCGGAATTCCGACAGGCAATGCGAGAGTACAATGAAGCGAAGAGTCGCAAGCTGGACAACAAGACCCCAGAAGAATTGAAGAAGTTTGCCCGCCCTTGGCCTACCGATGCCTCGAAGCAGCCAATTCCCATTCATTATCTGAAAGGTATAGGGGAACAGCCCCACCCCAGCCCTTCCCCGGCTTCCACCTCATTGGGAACAGGCCATCCGAACAGGCGTGTGGAACCGGCTACAGGGCCTTCATTTCATTGTGATACACCGCATTGCGGTCGTGTTTGGGACAGAGAAACCCCAATACGATCCCGAGAGCTTTCTTTCGGACTCGCAGTCTGGTTGGTGGTTTCCGAGAATGGAATCCCGAGCACCGGTAAGCAACAACGGTCAGAAAGCCCGCTGCTGTTCCACCCAAGGCAGTGACAGCTGCCAACAGTTGGTGACAAGTTGGGCAGAGGATCCATCTGTTCGATCTTTCTCGTGCCTGTGTTAGCCTACACATTCATATGCCTATGTGGCCCAAGAAGACGTCCGCAGGCCATGAGGATCTAATGTACTATATAGATCGTGTCGTGCACACACATCCGCGTGATGCATAGCGGGCAGTCTTAGACTGTCATGAACCTACATCAGGCGGGCATAGACTAGATCAGCTCGGACTAGGATTGAAGACTCCATGAGCAGTGCCAACGAACTTGACAACGAAATGAGCATTCTAGTTGAGTCATTGATTCAACCTGCCCTTTCAGGCCGGGCTTGCGCTGTAGATGCCCACACTCGATATCACGAATTCTCTCCGCCTGCAATTGTATCCTTGACCTGAGTGAGAATTGAAGCCCACTGCAACTACACTCCCAATGTGACCCCAATTATGGTTTGCTGCCGAAGGCACTACTTATCCCAACTTGAACTTCAACGATACGCACGCCGATCACGTTCGATGCTACCCGGTCAACGGTCCAGTACGAAAAGGCGACAGCCTGGCATAGTTCCGAAGTGGAGCATCTCCTCGATGTGGTGAATGTGGGGTTTCCTCATGGAGTCGGGGGCTGTTGGAGCATGTGGTGGAACAGGAATTGGAGGCCAGTCAAATAGCGTCAATTGGACATGCAGGAAAGGACAACGACATTCAACAGCTATGGGTGCAACAGATACCAAATTTCCAATCCGCTACGAGGACCCAGAGTACCAGTTGAACCACCGCAATCTCTTCTCTGGAGTACTTCTATCTCCTTTGGAAAATGTGCTTCCACCGGGCGTGAGCCAGCAACAGTTCGACGAGGCAGTCACAGACTTCGAAAATGCAGTCGGCAGGGACCATGTCTTCCGGGGCCAGTCCCTTGAAGAGTATGTTGACCCGTACGAGCTATGGGAAAAGGAAGGCAAGCGGAAGATGCCAAGTGCGGCCGTGTGGTGAGTGCTACTGCGCGAAACATAGGGTAGAACTGACACGGGAAGCCCGGCATCAATTGATGAATTACGAGCAGTGCTGGCGATAGCGAACCAGCATGGCATTCCCGTGTGGACATTCTCACGCGGCAAGAACCTTGGGTAAGTCATTCACACCACCAGCCAGCAGCTCTAACCTATTAGATATGGCGGACCGGCACCAAGACTCAACGGATCTGTCGCATTGGATCTTCATCGCATGAATCGTATCATTGAGGTCAACGACAAGTTTTCGTACGCTGTTGTAGAGCCGGGCGTCACTTTCACTGATCTATACCTGTACTGTGCAAAGCACAAGCTTCGAGTTTGGCCGAGTGTGCCCTCGTTGGGCTGGGGAAGTGTGGTTGGAAATGTACGTGTTCCTGATGGCAAAAACATAGCTAACGGTGGCAGACGGTTGATCGAGGAACCGGCTTCACCCCGACAGCGACCCATCATCAACATATCAGCGGGATGGAGGTCATGCTCGCAGACGGCGATGTTGTCCGCACAGGTCAATTTGCCATCTCAAACTCACCTTCGGCGCACTTGTCCAAGTTCAGTTTCGGTCCCTCGATCGAGGGTCTCTTTCTGCAGAGTAATCTCGGCGTCGTCACTAAGATGGGCATATGGCTTCATCCCCAACCTCAGGCGTACATGTCTTGCTCATGGGACATGCCCAACTTCGAAGATGTTGAGACGATTGTTGACATATTCGGCGACCTGCGGAGAGATGGGTTGCTCCCGAACACGGTGTACGTCTCGAATATTGTCGAATGGCTCGGTATGACAGGCAAGCGTGCAGAGTTGTGGCCAGAAGAGGGACCGATCCCAGACTGGAGACTTCGAGAACTGCAGAAAGAGCTCGGCTTCGGGTACTGGAACGTCAAGTTCGGCCTATACGGTGCGAAGGATGTGGTGCAGTCTCATTTCAACGAGCTCAAGAGAATCATCCGCAAGAAAGCTTCTGGTCATGAAGATCGTCTGGTCGGTCAAATCTTCTCCGGAGAAAACGATGAACTGCTAGAAGCAACGTCCATACCAGAACCGCATGGTGGATTCTTCGTCGGCGTGCCGAGCTTGTGGAGTCTGCCCATGGTCAAGTACCGGCTGCCGAAGGAGAAAGCGGGCATTGGTGCTCATGCAGACTACTCTCCCATTATTCCCTCCGATGGCAAGACTGTCCTGGAATGGGTAACGACAGCTCGGAAGATCTGCGAAGCTCAAGGATTCGACCTGTTCTGCGACTTCTTCATGCATGAACGGCATGTCATCTTCGTCAACATGATGGTGTTTGACAAGTCCAACCCGGAGCACCGACGAGCAGTTGATACCATTTTCCGCAGTCTGTACGAGGAAGGCCGGCAGAGAGGTTTCAGCAAGTATCGATCGCACATAAACTATATGGGTATGTCCTGGTTCAAGTCAGTGTGCACTCTGCTGACGGCCTGCAGATCTTGTCGCGGATGCGTACGATTTCAACGACCACGCGTATCGAAGGTTCGTGGAGAGGCTGAAGGTATGTCGTTCGCAAAATCACCGTCGTTCAGGTCGCTGACTGCCGCAGGATACTGTTGATCCGAACGGGATTCTGTCGCCTGGCAAGCAGGGTATTTGGCCAGCGAAGTATAGGAAGTTCAGGGAGAAATTGTAACATGCTGCGTCTCTTCTGTAGCAAGGATAGTAGTGTCGGTCGAAATGGCAGACAATTGACCGGATGTGGTTGGGCTGGAGAGGTGAAGAGGGGTCTCGAGGTTGAGGTTGAGGTTGAGGATAGCTTGCTTGAAGGCGAAGGTCGGTGGATGTGAGGATGAGTTGGGAGGAAGACCCTTCGAGACCGAGACATCTTGAAAATAGCGTTCTGATCAATGTGCACTTATCAGTTGGGTGAGGTTGTTGGCACCAACGTATAAAAGAAGGATTATGGACACAAAAGCAGGAGTCACACTTTTGCATGAATTATTTGAGAATGATAGCGCGTGCTGGGACAAGAATCGACCGAGGCATAGGGTCCAGCTGGTCAGGCCTGGTATTGCCATGAAGTCGAAGTGTTATGTTTGCGCCGTTCGGGGAAGGTTAGCTGAGCTCCAGGAAGAGGTGATCTTCCCTGCTCCTCCGGCTCAATTGGTAAGACGTAGGGCATCAATTCACCTCCATGGAAGATGCATCTCTATCGATCTACCTAGAGACGGGCTCGGCGACATGTGGAATCTACCAGAGGTCTACTGGCAACTGGATGATCTACATTTCAGGAAGGGCATTTAGCAGCATGAAAACATTGTCCGGCTGCTTCAGCTGCCGGTAGAGCGAATCGTTCGTAGCCACTTCTGCGTTCTGGTAAGCGTGATGTTGACTTCAGCGACTTCCAGCTGTCCGGGATCTCACTAAATGATGAGGCGCTCGTTGCCTCCTCGAGAGCTCATGTTCCGGTGTGAAACTTTGGCGAGAGACTCCGATGGTAGTCAAAGTTGCCGTCGCACGGACGCGACGAAGGAGACGACACTGCGTAAAGTTGGACCGGAGAGACCTGTTGAACGGGACTTGTACCGATGCCTGGTATGTTGTCAACCGCTGTCCAAGCTCGGCTGCAGAGTGTATCACGTGCTCAACACGAAGCTTTCCACCTGGGGTCGGATCTCGTGCGAGTGTTCTATATCCAGGGCTCTGTTGAATATCGTCTTGATCGCATGATCGAAAAGCGTTCGAGGTGCTCCGAGATTGTTATCGTGCCCATGCCCAAGTCAAATGGCGCTGCATAGATCCCTATGATCAACTAGGACGTCGCAAGGGATGTGCCTCCGTGTTGAAAACATACTGGTCCAGACTAATCAAGTCTGGTTCGCTAAAAATCAGGTAGAAATACTTCAGCGTCTCGGCCAGCCAAAAGCTCTCCATTCGATCATCCTTTGGGGGCAAGCCGTCAACACCAGTGGCAGTAATATCAGAGACAGCAGCATTGGCGAATTCGGTCGTAGTGATGTTCTGTATTGACTGCAACATTTGCCAGGCTTTCTCCTGGTACATTCTGTCGCCTGTAACGCGATACATGATGAAAACGCTCTCAATCGCTTCCGGTCGGAGTATGTAGCGACGATCATCGATGTCGGTAAAGCCCAGAGGAAGCCGCTTCTGAACAACGATGTCGTCGATGTTGCTGTTTGCTGACGCAGGACCGGCACGTTCGAGGACCGCAGCGTCGTATCTCTGGGGATCCCATGCACAATTAGTCTTCGAAGGGCACGGTAAGAAGTGTACGATTTCAGGCATAACACCCCTAGGCATGTTTTCGTAAGCCCATACACAACCGTCCGTAAGTTTCCGACCGATCTCGACGTGCTCGGGATTGGAGAAGATGCGGCCGCCCAAGGCAAACATACCGCCTGCGAAGCACGTAAGGTGTTGGCCTCTTGGCTCTTGCACAATACCGTTGTTATCTACTCGAGCGTCGCCACCGAATAGGATATCTGCGCCTGTCGGAGTCATAGGACGGAACAACAGGTGCTCGATCGAGGCAGCCATGGACTGCTCATACAGCTTCTGGTACATAGGTGCAAGACCTCCGAGAAGAACGTATTCTTTGGCAAAGTATTCGTACAACGAGTCGGACATGCCACCCAGGGTGAAGCCCCCGTCGACGGTCAGGTCTTGGTTCTGCGGATTGACGACGACAGGCCAGAGTCCCGGAATCCTTGTTTTGCCTTGCTGCTGGTCAAAGAGTGTTGCGATTCGGTCAATGGCATCGTACCATCTCTGGTCGCCGGTAAGTTGACTGAGGCGGGTAAACTCTACTGATAGTGATCCAAGTTCAGAGACCAGCATAAAATCCGGCGCTCGTTGCTTCTCGATGCCAGCAGCAGCCTTCTTCCAGTCCCAGCGAGTTATTGGCATGTGGTTGGGAGTATCGAAGGCAACAAGCAGCATCTCTCCGACTTCAACAGCCTTGGTCAAGAGTTGTCTCTCGCCGCTCAGGTCATAAGCAGCCAAGAAGCCCCCGAGATAGCGGATCGTGGTCTCAAAGACGTTGATCGTATCATCTGTGGAAGTCGAGAAGTCGATATTGACGGCAGCTGAGGCAGCCGTTCTGAACTCGTCTTCTAACCCCATGATCCAGAGGGTATCAAGTGCATCCACGAGAGTCGCAGCCCAACCACCAAACGTATCACGGCCGCCACCAGATATTGGCGACAATTCGTCTCGCATCCAAGCCTTTTCATGATATGAAGTCCAACACTTTTTGAACGCCTCTTTGACCTGCAGCTGCCGGCTGCGCTGCACCTCCACATCCTGAATGGTCAAGGGGGTAAATCGATGCTGCACCAAGGGTAGCTGCTTCGGCTTGCCTGTGGGAAGAGGATTGAGTGCTTGAAGAGGGTAATGCGTTTGCCGGGATTTCCAGAACGAGTTGGGCGCTGATACATTGGGCTTCTGGCGAGAGGATGTAGCCTGTGGTGGACTTGCACTCGTGGGGCCTGACTGCGGAGGGGGTGTTGTGGCATTGCCATGTAGCTGATACAACAGAAGCAACGCTGTGCACGCAAGGGCGACAACAATCAGAACTCGACGTGTAGCAAAGGGAACCATGTTCAAGGCTCGATGTTTGTCGAACGACTGGACAAATACATATGCGTGCTAGGAGATGTTAGTCGAAGATGGGGGGAGCACCAACCACAAAGGACAAAGACAGTCCTGGCACGAGCGTCAGGCTGGATGCTGGCATGCTTGACATGAGTGACAAATTCGCCTTCTTGCTCCACGCTTGTTCCGTTGGGTTGGTAGTGTGCAGTGTCTACAATCACAACCCGTCATCCTGGTCTGTTACAGAGAACGATTCTTCAAAGAAATTGGGCAAGTTGTTAGAGCCGTTGCCAAGAAGGATGGTATGGTGGCCCACCCATCGCCAAGCCAGCATTAGTACGTTAGTCTTTGGCAGGATCCCAATCCTACTACTCCGTATAATTTTATGTTTCGAGCCAAATAGTGCATGGCGCCTTGCAGCAGGAACAGAACAAGCCTGATGAAGTCCGAATCACCTACAACACAGTTCACAGTACTCCTTACCCCAGACGACTTATTTGAATATCTTCAAGTAAGTTCCTCACGAGCTTGGTGCAGTGATTTCCAGTATTGAGATACTATCTGCAATCAACCAGGGGGTTGGCCCCAGATCTTGTAGCTGGATGTACTACTCCGTACTTGCAATGCCTTCCATCTGAACGTTAAACTGTCTATTGTCGGGCTGCAGAATGCCTATCAGTCCCACTTCATTGACACGCGTGCGGAGCTTCCCTCAGGATCCTTCTCCTTACCTGCAGACGAGTCTTGCAGAGACGGAGCTGTGTGACCTTCCACGCGCTCAAACAGCCTGGTCAAACTGAGCCCTTGTTGCTCGGCCGCACCGTCCCGCTAGCAGCGTGTCGATGGGCTCACTAGTATCGCCCAAGACGACGGTTTGTCTGGTCGCGAGACAGATGGACGGCTGAAACAAGCTGAGCACAGGGTGGCCAAGGTTCGCCATCAAGGCGTAGAGGCTGACCTTTGACTGGCGGAGAGGTCCTTCAACAAGGCTTCATATCTCTTCTTCTGCCAGCCTGATCTTAACCACATTACCATGCAAATCACTGAACACAGCTATCTTCACGATGAGGATAGGAGTTCCTACCATCGCTGTGGCGGCAGTGCTTTTCAAGAGGCTGGCAACAGCACAAACTGTCCAAGATTCATGGATCACGCCCTCGGCGCCTGATTTTACCTCCAATCTTACAGTCGGCCAGTTCTACCTACTCAACTGGACTTCCGACTTAGTGAACAGCTTCGCACCGTACGCCCCCAGTGCGGACGTCAACAGCGTAGATCTTTGGATCACCGATTACAATCTCCATGTTTACTCTCATCTGATCGCTGGTAAGTCAGCAAAGCCGTCAACACCAACGCTTACTTACTGTTCTCAGCCCGGCAAAACCTCAACGTTATCACCTCTCTCTCCTGGAGGGTAGATGTCAGCCCGGATGAACTACTGGACACCAATCAATGGGTCTTCCGGTGGCTCCCCCAAGGTGTCAATTATTCCGAAACGTCTGAGCAGATTTCTAGCCCGGGCTTTTTCCTGCAGAACATCAGCGAACCTGCGGCAACAACAACAAGCAGCATTCCCGCTTCCACTGTCATCACTTTCTCCGAATCTTCTACTCCAGTGACTGAAACCCCAACAGCCTCCGCGACGAAGGAAGTAACGACCTCAGTCTCGGGTGCGGACGGCGCGAGTGACACGACCACCGCGCTGATCAGCTCCACAGTATCTCATGGCCTGTCTACAGGTGCGAAAGCCGGTATCGCCGTCGGCTCCATCATTGGTGCGGCATTGCTTTTCGGAATCGGGTGGGTTTTGGCGCGCAAGATACGGAAAAGGCACGGCGATGGCACTGGAGAGATGCAGCCGAACGGAATAGTATACCAGGATGAGTTGAAATCAGACGTCTTCATGCAGCAACAATATGTGCCGACTACGAAGCCGCCACATTACATTTCTGAGCTCGACTCGAGTCTTTCGAGGGCACCCTCCACGCATGAGCTCCCTGCCCGTTGAGGGCGAGGGTGAGTGTGGTGGGGTGCATCTTCAATGCGAAGTGGCCTAACATAGAGGACGTCGGGTTTGGTCTGTAGGATACTCTGGAGGGCATTTCTTCGACGGAGACACAGGATCGGCGGCTACGCTCACCATCTTAGCGAACGATGGGAGCAGAGACTCTGTTATTCTGACCGTTGATACCCTACCCATTCCTGTCAACGGTGACCAGACGGCCGCTTTTGCGATTATCTATGAGACTGTAGATTCCAGGACGGCGTTTCGGGCCAATCTGGGTTCAGAACAATTCGAAGTCTAGGCACCACATGAATAAAACTTGTCAAAACGCAGTAGCTCTACACGGTCCAACAAAGGCGATGCATTACTCCGTAGTCTACGTGGAGTTCGATCACAGTCATCTGCTACCCGGAGGGGATCTAGATCATACACTCCGAACCACTTGAAGAAGGCAAAAACCTGAGGTGCCCCAGCCCGTCTTGGTTGTGAGGCTCGTTTTGAAGGTCACCAATGGCACCCTAATGTCAACGGCCCCGTATCATTTTGACTTCCGCCGAAATTTCCGCTGCACCACGTGTTAGCTAGTTTCCTTCTCGCATTCGATATCCCGACCTTTCCCAAGGATATCAAATGGCTGCGCATACGATCTAGCAGTGACTTAGGGCTCTTGCCTTCATCCCTGAAGATGCGTGATCCGCACGCAAGACCACCCGACTCGATCCGAGAACGTTTCAAGGAACTGCGGAAGCGGCCAGCTTCACAAATCGATGCCGATCTTCACATCATAGATCCGTACAATCCAGATCATACAAAAGTGTCACCTCTTCCTGATGCCGAGCTTCTTGATAGCTCCGAACAGGGTATCTACTCGAAAGACTTTGGTATAGATACCAGCGTTCTCACCTTTTCCGGCGTTGAGGATCTCCGCCGCAAAGCTTTCGAAGTCAAAGGACTGCCTGGTATGCTTCGATCACTGTCAGCAGTTTGGAATAGGGCTGACTTATGGTAGGTCTCCAGCTCTTTCCGGCTTTACTTTCTGCTCAATTTCAAGTTGCCTTGCTAAACAAGCTACTTCACCGTGACCTGTCGAACCCTGTGCACAAAACAAATCTCCATCTCCACCACCATGTTCAATATCCTGCAGCTAACCACAGCTTATCACCCGTATCATTCTTCGCCGCAGCCCACGATGTAGCCCTCCAGCCAAAGGATCCTACGATTCACAAATCTCTCACGTACGCCCAAATGCTGGAGTCGAAGTTGCGATGGGTTACACTCGGTGGGCAATACGACTGGACAAGGAAGGCCTACCCTGATGAGGCTCCTCCGCCGTTTCCTCCTGATATTGCCGCTTTGCTGAAACATTTGTTTCCCTGTGTTGATGCTCAAGCCGCCATTGTCAACTTCTACAGTCCTGGAGATACTTTGAGCGTACACCGGGACGTCAGCGAGGAGTGTGACCGAGGCCTTGTGAGCATCAGCATCGGTTGCGACGGTATATTCCTTGTCGGCAATGAAGACGGTAGTCACGTCGCTTTACGCTTGAGGTCCGGAGATGCCATTTATATGTCCGGGCCCTCAAGATACGCCTGGCATGGAGTGCCAAAAATATTAACCGGCACGTGTCCGGTCTGGTTACGAGACTGGCCAGACGTTCCACGACAAGATCAATATCGACAATGGCGAGGATGGATGAACAACAAGCGTATCAACCTCAACGTACGACAAATGACCGAAGCAGATCCGACTCAACATCCGAGTGGAACAGAGCCGCTGACTACAGCCGACTCGGTATGACGGAATCTAGCCCAAGCAGGCAGGAGAATATGACCTACCTAGGTTATCAACCTGCGGTTGTCTGTGAAGGCCCCAGCCGTTCGAAGGTGGATGGAGATGTGCGACTCCGACAGGCTCCAGCGATCCCCTCATATGAGTTCAAGAGGGGTATTATCCTCACACTTCTAATAGCATCAATCCTCAATCCTTCGAGACGTCCAAAAGCTCAGCTTGCTTCACAACTCTGCAACATGGTCGCTGATTGGGAGTCCCGTGCAAAGGCGAAAAGAGAAGCCATTCTCGACTCGATTCCCGAGAAGTGGCGCCTGCAAAAAATTCCCAGTGCCGAGGAGCAAAAGGATGTCACCGGAGCATATATCCAACAGTTCCTGAACGAGAAGGAGGTTGCAATCACCGAAACCGACGTTGTTGGCATTGCTGAAAAGGTCGCCGCGGGAGAATGGTCCGCTGTCGATGTCACCGAGGCGTTCTGCCACAGAGCGTCGTTGGCACATCAGCTAGTTAACTGCCTTCACGAAACCTTCTTCGATGCTGCCCTGGCTTCCGCGAAAGACTTGGACGAGTACTACGCAAAGAACAAGAAGACCGTGGGCCCTCTTCACGGAGTGCCTGTATCACTCAAGGACCAATTCCATGTGAAGGGTGTGGAGACCACCATGGGATACGTTGGCTGGATCGGAACTTTCGAAGGCAAATCGGATGATCCACGAAAAGGGACGTATGAAAGTGAAATGGTCCGGGAACTCAGAGCACTGGGTGCGGTCTTATACTGCAAGACGAGTGTGCCGCACACATTGATGACTGGAGAGACGGTCAACAACATCATCGGCTATACTTGGAGCCCGAAGAATCGGTACCTCTGTTCTGGCGGTAGCTCCGGTGGTGAGGGCGCGTTGATTGGATTGAAGGGGTCCCCTGGCGGGTTTGGCACCGACATTGGGGGATCAATCCGCATCCCAGCAGCTTTCAACGGGCTTTACGGCATTCGTCCAACGTCCGGAAGACTACCATACGAGGGCATGGCCAACAGCATGGATGGTCAGAACAGTATCTTGTCCGTTGTCGGTCCGCTTGCCACCACGGCCCGAGGGCTCCGACTGCTCACAAAGTCCATTCTGTCAGAGAAACCCTGGCTGTATGACCCTCTGGTCGTCGACATACCGTGGCGTGATGCCCAAGAACAAGCCATCCTCGACATCGTCAAGTCATCTTCAAACAAAGGCCAACTCAGCTTTGCAGTCATGAGATCAGATGGCATTGCCAACCCTCAACCACCAGTCGCGCGAGCAATCAATATGGTGGTTCAAGCTTTGGGCAAAGCCGGGCACAAAATCATCGAGTGGAAGCCACCTTCGCACGAGAGGCTTCTCGACATTTCATTGATGACATGGAGATATGACGGTGGCAAGGACGTGCACGAAGCATTTGCCCTGTCTGGCGAGAAAATATCCCCTCAGGTCAAGATGGCCTACGGGGACAAACCACGTGAACAACTGACAGCGGCTGAAGTTGCGGCCAACAATGTGGCCAAGAGGCGCTTCCAGAAAGAGTACTTGGATTACTGGAACAGCACCGCTCAGGAGACTGGGACAGGCCAGCCGGTCGACGGTATCATCTCGCCTCTCGCGCCGTATCCAGCGGCAAGACCGGAGCTCTACAGATATTATGGCTACAGTGTCTGGGTCAACGGCTTGGACTACACAAGTGTTGTGGTCCCGGTGACCACATCCGACAAATCGGTGGACAAGTATGACGATGGATATACACCGATCAACGACCAAGACAAGGAAGTTGTCGACTGTTATGACGCCGAGTTGTACGATGGAGCCCACGTTGGCGTCCAGATCGTGGGGAGGAGGTTCACGGAAGAGAAGATGTTGGCAATTGCAGAATACATTGGTCAACTGCTTGGGAAATAGATGATATGCATTGCTATGCACCCGAGGTGGACTGGCAATTCCACGTTTGTACAAGCCAGGCCAGCACGCCTATGTACAAGAGTGCAGCTCCGTCACTCCAACTTTGTCTTTCCCAATTCAATTTCTTCGAAATTGGCCCAATCCATTGCCACCAGGTAGTTCAATGTTGTGTCAAAGTGAGGCAGTTCTAACTCCAAGGAGGGAACCTTGTCCTTGCTGCCGGAGCTTTTCTTCTTCCCGCCTACCTTCATCTTCGTCGTATCTTTCAGCGTGTCCGAGTTCGGCTGATGTACGTCCGTGTCAACCATGCTCTTCAAGATCTGATCAAAGTCAACGCTCTCATTGGCGGTCGATTTGCTCTTGGCTCTATCCTGCTCAGTTTTCCGCTTCACTGCAGGGTCTGATTCGATCACAGTGATTTTGGGCGTCACCGATGCCGTCCCCAGATCACCGAGTGGATGTGTGTCAATCGGGTACCGACACTGGCTGGGAAAGTCACAGTACTCGCAGCCTTTGAAGACTCTGTCGTTTTGAATCGTTCGAAGGACTTTGCGACGCCATTCACCCCACATTTTCCACGCGCCATAGTCAAATTCACTCGAGCATGCCTTCTGCTTTTTCTTCTTCCTCATACTTGGCTTGTCACTCTCGCCGGAGCAGTAGTAGTGCCCATCGACCAGACATCGCCGCGTCACTCCGAGAGCATAACGCGAGTGACAAAGATGGCAGATCCATATCCACTCCGTGGGCCTCGTGGTCGGTGGCGGTGGTAACGAGGGTCTGCTCTTGGTCTCGGGTGTGGGTTCGGCAAAGAATCTGGTATGGTCGAAAGGACAGGCTGATTGTACTGATGGAGAATCTGGAATGTATGTTGGAGTTCTTGGTGATCGCACTCCCTTCTCCGACTCGAAACTGACGTATGAGGTATCTAATCTTGACCCAGAGGCGCAGATCCTAAAGGTGGAGGAGGTCATCGTTGCGGTTGGCCGACGAAAAATGGCTAGAGAGTGCGGATGTCTTGGACTGCGGCGCGAGAGACATTTTGGACTCGGACATCTGGAATACAGTAGCAGCTTCTCTTTGTCACGATGCAAACAACGACACCGAAATAGGGACAGAGATGGGACTCGTGATGTATGGGCTTTGTGAGAGTAATCCAGCGCAGGACAATAAAAGCGGATATGACTGGTTGCAGAACAAAGGCCACAGCTGGACAACATCTAGATGCAGGTACACCAGGCTCAGGGATGGCTCCTACAAACTTGCGTATTGCAGCGAGGACAAAGAGGACAAGAAGCCGGCGTATGATTGAGAGCGCAATCGCAGTTTGGGTGGAAAGTCCACGCGCCGAGTTGGTGATCCTCCATGCTGAGGCTGCTGTGAGAAGGTGCATGGAATGGAATTTGATGCAGGGGACGACCTGCAAGTCCAGGTAGACCAAGTGCCATGCGAGACATCCGAAGCATTCCTTACTGGTGATGGATTGTCCTGACACCGGAAGTATTGAATGCTGGCAGAGGGTGCGGCGCAGGCAAAATTGCCGTGAGGAGCTCAGAGCTGAAGTCGCTGTGCTGGGCGCAGCTCTTCTCCCTTCCGCCTCCCAACAATTGTACTCTTTCACAGTGGAGTTCTGTAGCAAGTGGCAGAAAGTTTTCTGGAATTAATAATTTCGACGAGACCTGACGCCGAGCCGTCCACCCAGCCGTCCTCGGTTATCTCAGATGCGGACGCTATCACAGATCCACTCGCCCAAGCATCGATCTGCATCCCCGATCTCTGTGGCCTTCGCCAGCAGCAACACTTGTGCGCACACGGTCGACTGGAAAAGCTGCCCCGGTTCCCTTGATACCCCTGGTTCCCCTGTTCCCCCAGACTTGAGAGGGCGGGACGTGGCCCAAGCCTGGACTCGGCCCCAACACGGGCTGTGACAGCATTGACATATGCAAGGTCAGCCAGTGAGGTGAGCGAGGCATACCGCCTGTACCTGGCTCCTTACAGCTGATATGGCGCCACCACTTTCTGAATGGTTGTGTCTTATGGCAGACTAACCCGGTGCTAGGTCAACCACGTCTGCGGCGTCTTTTGACGGGAGAATGTCTGTTGCCCATGTGCGAACGGGTCTCGGCCAGCAGGTGGCAAAGGGTTGCTCCCAAGATATGATGATGTCCCCATCTCCCATTTCCAGATCTTCATCCCGACCGTTGCGCTCCCGCCTTGTCCTACAGATCGAGTGCAGTCGAATTCCAGCAATCAATTGCCACAGCTAGCAATGGGTCTCAATCCGAACGGGCGCAACTGGGGCTCCCTCGTCAATTGGGATGACTTGGGCAAGTTCTACGCCGGCTTCATCGTTGCCTGGACAGTCATCTTGTACGCCGGTGTTGCATTCTTGATCGTCAATCGAAATCTTGCTTTCATCAAGATCCGCAACCAGCCGCTCGCCGTTGCAGCCGTCAGTTTTCTCCACGTCTACCTGGTGAAGATCTTTCTCGCATATACCACCAATGGACACTTCCTGTGCTCCGCGGAGTTTTGGATCATGAGCATATACCTACCATTTGGCATCGCTCTCTTCCAAGCAAATCTGGCACAGCTCAGAAGTATCAGTGACCAGCAGAGAGACCTCGTGTATACGAAACACGGATCATTCGATGGACAATCGAGTCTCTCTGCGGCCCAGCGAGTTCGGTACCGATGGAGCTCACTGTCTGGAATCCAAAAGTCATATGTCTACGTCGGCACGGGAATGACGGTGCAGCTCATCATCACTGCTGCGCTCTATGCGACAACCCCCACTCTTCAAGGCGACTGGTCAAGTTATGGTGATGTGTCTCATGCCAAAGGTCAGGCTCTTTGCCGCAAGTCTCCGGAATGGATACCTTCAGCTTTCTGGCAATTAGCATGGTCCTGGCTCTATGGGCCATATCTTCTCTTCCGGGTGCGGAACATCCATGATGTCCATTACTGGAGATTGCAAGTCATTTACAGTGTGATTTCCGGTCTGCCTGGGGCTCCATTATGGCTGGCGGCCTTGTACTCGACCGCCTTCAAGCCTGTGAATCGTCGGTGGGTGCCGCCGATGTGGCTAGCTCCGGGTATAGTTGTGATGCAGTTCACAACAATCTTCTTTCCCATCTACGAAATCATCAAGAGCCGGCTCCAGCTGCGTCAGACACTTGCCATTCTCGAATCGTGGGAAGACCGCCGTGGCATCAGACAGTCAAGCAACCATGCAGACTCGAGCAGGGCATCATCCGACCAGCCCTCAATTACCTCCTCTCAACAGCGAGAGTTGTACACTATGGCTTCATTGGAGAGAGCGCTGGCAGATAACCCGAACCCATTGTTGAAGTTTGCCGCTACCAGGGATTTCACGGCCGAGAATATCTTGTTCCTGATGCAGGTGCAGCGTTGGAAGGAGACCTACGCATCCGCTCTCCGTGCCAATAACACACTTTCCGAATCTGCAAAGTCTCAACTGTTCCACTCAGCGGTGGACATCTATATGTCCCGGGTCAATGACAAGACGACTGATTTTCCGATCAACATTGAAAGCAGGGTTCGTCAGGATTTGGACACGATCTTTGGTCCTGCGGTGCCCACCGGTCGACTCGATCCGGACGAGGACATGAGCTACTATGAGGCTGAGAGCTGGATCAAGTCGCCCAAGACGACCTCCACATTCCACATGGACAATTCAGCACACAGTGGCGCCTCAGTGGAGACTCTCACAGCAATACAAGTGCTAATGTCTTTTCCGGTGGAGAATCATGAATCCATCTTCCCGCCGCATCCTGGCGTTGCTCCACTGGGCGAATCTCGAGCAAAAATGAGGGCAGGCTTTGACGAACACGTCTTTGATGCGGCGCAACGTAGTATCAAATATCTTGTCCTGACCAATACATGGCAGAAATTTGTCAAAGAACAACAGCCAAGCATCGACATTAGAATCGCCGACTGAGGTTCCGAGATGTTTGTGCTCGCCACCGACCAACACATCCAACGACAGGCTCCACCGCGCTTCAGGTCGTCCTGTGGCTAATCGAACCACAAGCGTTCTCCTCAACCCGGGTCCCTGCTCTGGCGCGCAATTGCTGACGTACGTAGACCATTGTACGTGTCAGCCGTCTTTCAGAGTCGCCGGAGCCTACTCTGGCATGAGTGGCAGCAGCGCAAAATCAACCACATTGGAGACCTTCTTGGGGCCAATGGATGACGACGATGAAAGAGGAAATGTTTGCGCCAGTGATGGAATGGAGCAGTCTCTTGGCTCGCTTGGGATTTTGCTCCGCCATCCGGTCTCTTCCCCAACTCTAGCTCTTTCAGGAACTTCGCTCAGACCTTTCGCCGTCCTCCATACTCCGTATCCCGTTCTGCGCTTTCGATGTCATTGATTACGATCAGGAAACAAGCAGTATGCATCTTCTTGGTTCTGAACTTGCGTGGCTACGACAGGCATATTGCCGAATAGGCAACATGAGGCGCAAAAGATGCGCGTCCATCTCGAAGCGGGAGGAGAATTGTTCGTCGTTCTGTGTTCCGGGCGATCGCTCTCCGGACATCGCTGTTAAGAGCCTGTGAAGGCCGTGTTTGGTGCGAACAGACGCCGGCTAGGGACGTGGAGAAACCACTCGTGCACCTGACGACCTCAATTGTGGTTATCGCGTCGTGGATGAAGAATTGGGTTCGGTCCCCTACGATATGGTACCTTATCTCCGATGGGTAACAACGTCGGCGGAGGAAGATATAAAGACTAGCTCTACGTCCTTAGGGAATCAACCCAAAAGCCGCTGTCTTAGACAGTACGGAGTACATATGTCCATCATGGTCCAATTCAAGTGCATTCTGCTATTCAGTCTCATCGGTGCAACTGTTTCCGCCTTCCCAGCTTCGAAACTTCCCTCGTGCGGTGAGATCGACATCATCTTCACGTATGCTCACCTGCTAGTTAGTCGAGTCTGAACTGATCAGTTAGTGGCTTGCCTCCGTACCACCCTCTCGTCATTCAGCAGGGATTCAATGCCTCCGCTGTCGATGGGGGTCTGAGGGGCGACGCTGCAGATATCCTGAAAGCTGGCTATAATCTCCGAGGTAGTTCGACCCAGCTGTCCAACGACGATGCTGATCTGAGCCCAAGTCATTCTCATGGGTCCAGAGCAGAACATCAGTGTTCTCGCTAACGAGACGACGGGTGTTCGCTGGGATGGTACAGGGATAGGCTATGGCGTACGGGGGTCACACCGCGAAGACCTATCCGCTTCGCCGGTAAGTTGTCTGATGTTCACGGGGACAACTACTGACACCGGCCAGATATCATCCAGCTGTTCCGCGACAAAGCTCCACAAGCTCCGATCCTCTTCGACTATTCATATGTCACCGCTCTCTGGGCGATACAGAGTCGCTTCCCCCTGTCGAGCAATTGCACAGATTCCCCGGGAACAGATCTCGTATGGTTGACCGACCCTCCAAATCGACCACGCTAGCTAACACAGTTCCAACCAGGGGTTCGAGATCTTTTGCGACATATGCAAAAGCTGAGCCCGAGGACAGTAGTTTGGATCGATCATCTTTGCACAGAGTTACACGGGTTTCTGGCCAAGGGCACCGAGTCCAACGTAAAAACCTCTCCCGCCGTCGTGGCCGTGTAGGGCTGAAAGCGGCCTCAATATCATTGGTTGCAGCTAGCCGTCTCCACTATTTCCTTTTTTGGGTTGCCAGCCTCGCAACTCGCCCAGCCTTGCTTCTCGCTTCCTGCCACTGACCTCCAACCTCTTCATCGCAGTCACCAGCCATCAATATGATGAGACATGTCTGTGCCGCGGGGCTGGGCAACCCGCTTGCATTTGACTACATGTAGACCATACTGTGCACAGTGCTCTTGCTAACATTCCAATCTGAAAAAAAACAGCCTCCCATCGCAACTAACCAGCAGCAAACCAGCATTTGCCACGAGCACGTACTCGTACCGCATTCAGCTTCGAAACAACGAAACGACCCTTTACAATTGACACAACGGCGTCGCCGATTGCTGTCTCCGCATCGAGTCCCTCGTTATCCTCAGAGTCACCTCCACCGTCGCCACGATCACTCAAATCTCGAAGCTATCAGTCTGAGCCCATCCCCATCAGACAGCTGCCCAACAGTGCATCGCTCCTCTGTGGCCCCAGACTCAGTCCACCACCACCGGTCCGCTTCCGTATAATCGAGCCGTCTCTGCATTTCCGCGCTCGGAGCGAACCTTTTGCACGGAACGCTCCTCGTACGACCGGCCATTCGAGGACACAGTCCTCTCCTCCATCCTTGACACACCCGCCTCCAGCAGTCCACCAGATCCATCATGCAGAGAAACTACGTGATAGCGATCATTGTGATCGTGCTGTTCGTGCTGCTGGCGCTGGTGGGCTATGCAATCTACGCCATCCAAAACCGGGTGAGCCTGTTCGCGAAGAGGGAGAAGGACCTAGAAGAGGCGGAGGAAGAAGAAGAGTGATGGCCTCACAAACCGGACGCGCTCGTGCACGGGTACGGTTCAAACTTGGCGATGACGATCCGCACCAGGGTGTTCCGGCGAAGAACAGGTCGGTCTCTGGAATATTACGGCTGGAAGATGACGCGGATTCTTGGTTTTAATGGCTGTCACGATTTGAGCGAAATTTCTCGTTGGACATGTATTCTACCTTAGAATTGGACATGATATCTACGATTGAGACAAAATGTACACCTTCCATTACATGGAACCTTCCTACAGGTCTGAGATGATACTGATGTTCCCCTTTTGATTTCTCATGCTCCGCCGTCTCTCTTCCAGGCTGTTCGGCGCCAGTCCATTAGGCAACCCGTTCACTGGCTCGCTCTGTGTCTTCTTGAGCTCCGACACTTTCACCGCCGGTGGTGGTGGCCCGGCTACGACCCCGTCCATCGACTGCTGGGATTGCGCCACGGGCATGCGCCGATTCCTATCCTCCTTCACATGCGCTTTCCACTTGTTGACCAGTTTGTCAAAGTCCCATTTGTCACCCATTCTCGTAAGCACATTCTCGATAGGCGCATTTACCGTCTCGTCGGCACCGCCTGGTCCGTGCGAACCAGCGTGGCCTCTGTTCAAATTGATCATTCGCAACTCGTCGCGCATAGTCGCGCCAAACGTCTTTCGCTCAGGAGGCCACAACGCCATCTCTCGGGGCCACTGACAGCGAGACAGGTATTCGACCTGCTGTTGCAGCTGATCCGCTTCTTGTTGTAGCCGCTCCAGTTTTTCTTCCATTTCTTGCACCTTCTGCTGTTCCGAGTTGTATGCCCGGAGCAATTCCACCTGCCAAAGTAGATTGCGGATATCGAGCGGCTGCGCCATCCAATTCTGATAGCTCGCATCTACGTGTGTAAGGGTAGACTCCATCCATTGCTTCGCACTGTGTGTCAGAAAGTCTTGCTCTTCCCCAATGTTTGAGGACGTAGGCTGAGCTAGCCGCAAAGCCTGCCACTTCCAGTAGTCAATCGCGGAGCTCAGCTTCTGGCGGAGAGAAGCAAGCTGGTCTGGACCCGGTGGATTGATCGGGATCGACTGTGGCGTGGGGAAAGGAGAGGCTTGGAACAGTGTCGCTGGCGCGGGCAGGACTTTTAAGCAAAGAGAAGGGAAGGTCTGCGACTGAACATCGAAGTTGAAGGGAGAAGGTTTTGGCGAGGCATGCTTGGTGGCCGCGCGAAGAGAGTCGAGGACTTCACGAAGAGCAAGCTCGAGTGCTCTTGTGGTCTCTGCATTGTTCGTTGGGTTGAGGTCTTGAGCGTACGTCGAGAAACTGCGCTTCAGGCCCAACGGACTGGACACGACGGCCGGCGTGGGAGGAGCGGCAACCACCGGAGAATCGAGGGTTGCAGGATCAGTAATGACACCTGTAGCCTCCCAGTTCAACCGGTTCAGGCGCACGTGCATTCCCCCCGGGGGTATACGATTCAGTTCGATCGCGGAAGAGACCAGTGTGCCTGGTTGAGGACCTGGACCGAGCGCCGGGGAACCCTGAGAGGAGCGAACATCTTCGTGTTCATTGTGCTTGTCTTTCTTGCTGCTTCTCGCCGTGCGGCGCGTGATGCCTCCTCGTAACCTTCGTATTTCGTCCACGTCGTGAATGCCATCGGGTTTCTTCTTCGAGATGAATTGATCGAGATGGCGGCCGAGGGAGGAAGATGTGAAATGCTGGTGACAGTACTGGCATTCCTTGTCCTTGACCGTAGCTGCTTTGGCAGCAGCCTGATGTGCCGCATTGGTCTCGTCGCCCGACTCTTGGTCCTGGGATGGTTCGGATGCAGGTGAGTCGGCCATGTTGGTCTCCATAAAGTCATCGAAAGGCGAAATGCAGTGTTATGAGTCCCTGCACCGTATCCAGGAGCATGGTAACGAGAAACAGACCAGCAGTTCGACGGCCGCGCCTTTGACCTTTGTGCTTTCCAATGCACTCGACCGAGAAGGCGGATAGAGCGGGTCACAGCGGACGCTCGGGATTTAGCAACACCCGGCGGCGATTTGTCGATCGCAGCCTTGAAGAGGAGGTAATTACTTGCGGACACAGAGGGGCCAGCAATGGACCTGTTCAGCTGCTGAGACAGAATGCAGGATGCGGTCATCGAAATACTATTCAGCGTACTCCGCCATAATGTACTATACATGTCTTGAGTCGGCTGACTCTAACCTGACTGATTCCCCATATCTCTCTATCAGGTCATAAGTGCATCTCCATGCAATCCAAACGTCGTGGGTATTTCGTTATTGCCAAAATAAAGTCACTGTACAACCAGACCAAGTACAAGCCATGTTTTCTAAACAAAGCTTCCTCCTGCTGCTCCAGGACTCGTAGGTTTCCAACTCTGTCGTCGACCTGCAGCCCTCTGCCGCCGCTCATCTCGTTCCCTTTTGCTTTGCTCTTCGAACCGCCGTCGCGTGGCTTCTGCTTCTGGACTCTCTGTCCGAGCCAAGCCATATTCATATGCATCATTCACTCTTGCGTCCTCCGAGACTCGAGGCAGGTGATCGTCGCCATCCGTCCTGCGAAAACCAATGTCTGGGTGCCGACTCGTGTATCTCGGCGGGCTCGTCGACGAATTCGGGAAATGGTCTGATGCTGCTTGAGTGGCTCTGCCCCGTGTTGACCCTCCTCCCACCATGGTCCCCGGTATTGCTCGCTCGTCGTTCGCGCTCGTCGGTGAACTCCTTGTGATCAAAGGTGGGGGTTGATAGATCGTCGGCGGACTTGGCCTTCGCCGGCTGCTTGTCGTCACCGGTGGTGGTGTGGCTGAGATTGTCTCGTTCGGCGGACTCTCGGTGCTCGTCATCTGCCAACCATCAACCTCGTCAGAATATGACAGAGAACGTTGAGGAGGAGAGGGATATTGATAACGATAATAACCATCAACACTGCTGGTGGAGCTGGATTGGGAATGGGGGTTTGCAGGGGCATAGGGCATGGATTGAGCTGGGCGTTCGGGCGAACGAGGAGATTCATGTTCAAGCAATGCAACGTGAGAATCACCCTTGACAAGCCCCAGTCTTTCCTCCTCTGAACCATTCTTGAAGGCGCGCCTCTGCTCGTTACTGCTGGCACGGTGCGACAAACGCGGCCGTGACGAGGCTGAATCGATGTCCGGTGTGCGTGAGCCAGGGCGGAGGAAATTTGTGAAAGAAAATTGTCGTCTTGCTTCAGGAGCCGGTCGAAGTGATGGGGACGATGACGGTTTGGCCGGTAGAGGTTTCGACCGAGGCGACGGTTGAGCCGCGATCGTGACGGCTCTCTCTTTTTGAAGCTGGCCGGGTGGGAGTCCATAGATTCGTTCTTGGGCATCTTCGTAGCTCCCTGGACCATACGGCACAATGGGTGACTCGGACTTGGACGAGTGGACCTTTATATCGGTCAAGGCAACAGGATGTATGGGGCTTCGCAAAGAGTCCTCTGGCATGTCTTGATGACGGCCAGGAGTAGGGTGACGGATGACACTCTGTGCACGGTGTCGAAGGTTCTCAAAGAAGCTGGGACCATGTTCGTTTTCTTCGTCGTCTGGTTGTGGAAAATGGGACATGCCCAGTGGTGGACGAAGAGTATTTCTTCGAACAGGAGCGCCAGGTTCACCGAGAACTGTTTTCCGTCGTCTAAGGCCGTCCCATTCCACAATCTCATTTTCGCGCAGCGGCTCTAGTTGGTCTTTGAGCGTGTCTTCTCGCAACCGCCTGGCTTCCTCCTGTTCCATCTTCTGTCGGGAGGCGGATAGTCGCCTAATCAAAGCAGCAGTTCCGCGGATAGCGTCAGCTTTTGGTTCGGTTTCCGGCTGTTCGACCTCCGCGATTTCTCTGACTTGGTCGAGATCTCCTTTGAAGACAGCTGCGTCGGGTACATCCTTCGCAGACTTGGACATTTGCAACAGTACAACGCCAGCACAGATCTGGAAGAATCCCATGATCACGGTCGTAATCGTTACGGCGGTCCCCTTGAATCCACGGAAAAGGATTGCCGAAGTGATAATCGTCGCACTGGTGAAGATCACGTAGTAGGTCGGGGTCACAAGCGCGGCGTTGAAGATATTCAGAGCTTTCTGCAAAATATTAGTGGAGAAATGCGAGGAAAGCAGTGAGGACTTACGTTCAGGTAGATGATCTCGGTCAACAGCGTCGCAACCACAAAAACCAACAGGACATAAAGGAACCACTGGTTGAACTGTGATTTGCCGCCAGCTTGAGCGACAATCGCGCTGCCCAATCCTTGAGTTGCGACGACGCTGAGACCTCCGATCAAGCTGCAAATGGTGAGATACACCAGCATGCTCTTCTTTCCGTACCTCGGGCCTGCCCAGAGAGCGATGAACGTACAGGCGACGATGACAACCCCGGCATACGACAGAAACCCTGGCGCAATCACAAAGTGCTGCATTTGCTGGATATCAGCCACGGCGCTCTGTTCGGGCGCATTGAGGACAATGACGATGCTGCCGATAATGCAGTTGAAGCAGCCCACCTTGCCGACAAAGCTCAACCGCTCCTTGAGGAAGATTGCAGACAGAATCGTGGTGACCACAACGCTCAGAGCACCCAGGGGCGTGACCAGAATTGCGTCAACAAAGGCGTATGCCACGAAGTTGCATATTTCACCCACAATCATCAGCGTCATGCCTGCCCACCACCAGACGTTCTTAAGGTATCCGTAACCCTCGCCAGCTTCCTCGTTGTATTTCGCATTGGCTTTGAGCAGTCCCATCTTTTTCAGCACGAAGGAAGTGCCAATGAACAGACCGGAGGCCACCGCCAGAGAAAGACCGACTGCTTTGTAGACAGGCGGGCGATTGGCTGTGGCAGAATCGGTGGCCGCAGAGGTTGAATTGCTTGTCTCATTGCGGGCAATCAAAGTATGAGCCACAGCCCATACCTGCGGCGGTACATTTTCCATGCTATGGAGGAGGGGCGTAAAGAGCGCCACTGACGGCGGGTATCGAGGTAAATGCGTTCTATGAGGTGCTAGCCATCAGCGCGATGCTGCTACGAGGCCTGAGAAGAGAGTAGGTTCCCGTATGCGATTTCAACACTCGGCCAATGGACCCGTGGGTGAAGATCTTCGAACGTGGAAGGGCGTCGGTCACCCGTCCTCGAGAGAGTGCGCTTCGTGGATGGTGTAAACAACGTTGTGGTACAGGCAGCGAGCGTATGTGCACGGCTCGGACTTCGATTGCAGAGGCTCGAGGGCTGACTTCGAGGATGAGTGTCGTGGAGCTTTGGGAGTCGTTTCGGCGATAGTTGGCGAAAATGTTCAGCGCTGAAGAGAGAACAGAGGAAATGCAGTGAATGGGAGAGCTGGACAATCCAGCATGCAGAAAGTGAGATCTACCAACCACTGACGCAGTTGTGGCTTGTGTTAGCGCCTGAAACACGAGTTGAGAAGCGAAAAGGGTTGGCTGGCGATGGATCCTCTGCCATCAGAGTCTTGGAAAACCAGTGAAGACCCGCTGGAAAAGCAGGGGAAAGCCATCCTTGGCCCCACGGAGTCTGGACCAACCCGTTTGCCGGGCCTCCGTTGCTGGGCTTCTGCCTCGTTATCGATATTCACCCGAGGGAACTCAGCACTTAACCATTCCTTCTGGATACAGTACGAGTACGTACCAGGACGGAGTCCGGAGCTCTCAACGACGATGCCGGTACTTTATTTGGCCAACGTTTTGCTGTCGGTGCTGTCGGGTGTACCCAGTATGCTGCATCTGCCCTGTGGCAAGAAGGACCTCGATTAATCAATCCTTGCATCCCCTTCCGGATCACGCAAGCCCACCGCGAGACTATGTGCGTTGAGGCTGTGTTTGAGCATCATCGCAGTGTGCGCCTCTCTTTCCGATGCGGGCCACACCCAAAACCCTCCCAGTCACGGTATCGCGATCAACATCTCCGTCAAGAGCCACGACCGGCTCAGGCCACTGTTCCTCGTGGCCTTTTCGCGCCCGATCGGTGTCGCGTCCTGTATCTCGTGCTCATGTTTGCACGATCCACCGTTCTCGAACCTGTCAACTGTTTCAGACCTCCCTTCCCCTGTGTCTCAGGTATGCTCACAGCCGCTTGAGCATGGTCCTCTCAACTCGAGACTACCCACTTGTGCGTGATGCATACTACGCGACGATTGCTGTGCCCTTTCTTGGACGGCTACTTTGATTCGTTCTTAGAGTTTACCTCAGCGCCGTGACGGAAACTGGCGAGTCCGATGACTCGACGCCCCTGCCATGAGAACATTCCGATTGACGACTTTTACCCTATAGCCAAACTAGAGAAGCACTTGGTATACGAGGCCGGCCACTGATGAACAGACTCGGTCCGAGTAGCAATTATGGTGCAGAACATGCTGAAGACAGCGTGTGCTCGCTTGGCAAGCCCTCCAGCCCTCCAGCCCTCTGCTTCGTATGGTCTCACACCGGGGATCTTCCTATCGCGACAGTGCCATCATCTTTCCACCACTCGAACTGAAATCTTCAAGAGACGCAGGCGCTTTGTCACTAGCCTCCCGGATATTGAATAGACGTGGAGATGGAGAGTTTCATTGATTGCTCTTACGTACGACATTCCCCGCGTTCTCACAGGGCTGGTTGCCCCGATAAGGTTGCTGGCAATGCACTTCTTCCGAAGTCGCGTCCTGTCACCCTGTACGGAGTACATCAATCACAATAACCACATGGGAATCCGATCGTGGCCATCGCAGATAGCTGCCGGCTGTCTGCTGTCGCCACGTGGGATGCAAGAGCTCATGTCAAGCCTTGATAAAAGATATCGCAAGAATCGCCAATCCTTGCGACACCCTATCTTCGTACCACTGATAGCAAGGACAATTGCTTGGCAAGGCCAAATCCATGGACGCCATCGAATGCAGGCCTATCTTTCTCCTCAGGCGTAAACGAATCAAACCTCTACCTGCCCCGAAATTGGCGAGAGGCGGCCGGGTCTCTACAGGCATGGTCCAAGCTTCGACTCACATCACCCTGGACGCCGCCCGCTAAAGATGTGCGCCTCTCATCCTCGAAGCAGAACATCGGCTGCTGATAAGGCCAACAGCAACGATTGAAATTCCGCGCACACCCGTTCCAACGCCAATCACGAAGTCTGTCGTGGTTTAGTTCCTGAGCGGACATCCTCCGCGCATTATCCAGACAGGGCTTGGAACCACATGGATGCATTCTCTCCTTCTGCTTCGAGGGATAGTGTCACAGCATATTCTCGTTAACATGGCTAGACCACATGTCTCCGGGCAATCGTTCCCGCATGCGGAGGCAATCTCGTCGAGTGCGCTTAAATCTACAACGGCAACATCATGGGTGGACGTGCGGGATAAAGTCTGTCCTGTTCCCTCTTTCCCACGACATTTTCCTGGACCATCCCTCTGTCGCATACTGCTAACGTTCTAGCCTTCTGATACCATGGCGAGTCCCCGGAAGGGCTCCGTCACTGTCGTCGACGAGAACGCCGTCGGCGTCACGTCCGTGTTTGCACAGCAACACAGCCATGCGGTCCTAGAGGAGGGTGCCACCAAAGACGAGGTGACTCTAGCTGCCTTGGGCTACAAACAAGAATTCAAGAGGTATGGCCTCCCGGTGCACCCGGCCGTCGCCGCAAGCTGATCGAACGTCAGAGACTTCACCATCTGGGAGTCTTTCTCCGTTTCGTTCGCCGTTCTGGGAATCCTGCCTTCGGTCGCGTCTACGATTGGCTACAGCTTGGGCTACTCGGGTACAGGTGGTGCCATGTGGGGGTGGTTGATCGCGGCGCTCATCATTCAGTCCACCGCTTTCACCATGGCCGAGTTGTGCTCGAGCATGCCCACCGCTGGAGGTCTCTATTACGCCTCCGCCGTGCTTGCTCCTGAAGGCTGGGGACCAATGGCGTCTTGGTTTGTTGGGTGGTCGAACTTCTGTGGTTTCGTGACGGGGCCGTGCTCTGTCAATTATGCATTGGCATCTATGTTGATTACATGCGGGATGATCGCGAATCCTGACTACGAACCCAAGACGTGGCATGTCTATTTGACACTGCTGCTTCTCCTCTTTACCAACGGTCTCGTCACGATGCAATCCACGTGGTTCATTGGCTGGCTGAACAAGATTGGGACCATTTGGAATATCCTTGTGTTGCTCATCTTTGTCATTTGGTTCCCGGCGGGCTCAATCAATCACCCCAAGACCAATAACAGCCACGACGTCTGGACGACGTTTGAGAATGGCACCGAATGGCCAATTCCATGGGCAACAATCATGGGATTCCTCACCACAATCTGGACCATGTCGGGATACGACGCTCCGTTTCATCTCTCGGAAGAATGCAGCAACGCCAATATTGCATCACCACGGGCCATTGTAATGACTGCGCAGCTTGGATTGTACTTTGGCTGGGTGGTGATTTGGGTCATTTGTTATACCGTGAAGGACATCACAGATGTTGTGGCGGGACAATATGGTCAGCCGTTCGGGAGCCTTTGTCTGCAAGTGCTGGGCAAAAAGGCCGGCTTGGCCATGTTTTCTCTGAACATCATCGCACAGTTCTTCGTCGGAGAAAGCTGTACCATCACTGCAACACGCGTCGTCTTTGCCTATTCTCGGGACGGAGCCATACCAGGCTCAAGATGGTGGAGTCAGATTCACCCGAAGACGAAGACCCCTGTGTATGCCACTTGGGGCGTCTTGGGAGTGGGGGCATTGCTCGGCCTGTTGATGTTTGCCAGCCCGGTCGCTATTGGTGCGGTATTCAGCATTGGCGCCATTGCGCAGTACACAGCATTCACCACGCCGGTGGCATTGAAGCTGTTCTTCGATCATGGAAGATTCAAGCCGGGTAAGTTGGGCCGCGTGTCTAAGCATACGTAGTGGCTGACTGTGTGTTCTTTCAGGCCCTTGGCATCTCGGTCGGTGGTCCAAACCTTTGGGAGCGGTGGCAGTCGGCTGGTGGTTGCTGATTACCCCGGCCCTATGCTTCCCAGCTGTCAAGGGTAATGATCTGAACTCGTTGACGATGAATTGGACTTGCCTGATATATGGAGGCTCAATGTTCTTGGCCATGTCCTGGTATGCGATTGATGGCAGGAAGTGGTTCAAGGGTCCTCGTATCAACGTACACGTCACTCAGGATGGGATGGAGGTCCTTGAGGATCAGGCTGGTCAGAGCAGCAGTGAAATCAAAGCAGCGGATTCTGAGAAGGAAGCAATCAAGTCCGAGTGATGGGTCGATGACAGATCAACAGCAGCAATGAATACCTCCAAGACGGCCTAACTCTGACTTGCTGACCACCCTGCATTGCACGTTGACCGTCCGGGGGTCACTGCGAGGGCTTGTCGCGTGTAGTGCCAAGATTGCAAGCAAAACCACCAGGGCTTGATTCTTCTGTTCGCGCGCATAGTTACCATTTTCAGAACTGCAGTTGAGTCTGCTCATGCTATAGAGAATGCCGCGTCATTAGCTTTGCGAGGCCTTGGTCTCGGCAAGGGCAGAAGTTCCATAGAGTGCTTGAAATTCCCTAGCGATGGCGAAGTACGGACCGAGGGCCTGTATCGCAAACCCCCCGCTCAATTGACTGAGTGACTAACTGCAGGCGGCCCGAGCTTCAACCTCAATTCCTGGCTTTCCCCAAGATTCGCCTAGAGAATCTTATCCCGATATGCACGCGTCGAGGCCCCTTAGGCTACCTCCGAACACAAGGCGAGCACACCATCACTATAGCTCGCGGCACCAAAGCTGTCTGGAATGGCTCGATGCCAAGTCAAACCCATGGGCATTAGCAGCGAACTTGAAACGGTCCATTCTTACTCCGACGGCCGGATATACGTAACTCACGCGGCTCGCCCGAGAAACCTGTTCGCAATTGCTTGGACTTTTCGAATGGCCGGCCTTAACAAATCAAATATGACCTCCGGGCCGCTGATGGCGGTGTTCCCACAACGACAACAACGCTGCGAATGCCCAACATCCTGACAGAGCAGCTCGCAGGACGCGCCGAAAACCAAAGCTGCACCCTGTCGTACAACTATCATCACCGCATTTTGCCCGTCGCGAACTAGAACGCCCCACTGATTCGACGCAATGCCAGACTCACTACTGTGGATCAATAAGGACTCTGGGTCAACCGTCCTCTCGCGAAGCTCCAGAGCCGAAACGAAACAAATTCGCAAACATGTCCAGCACGAAAGACAGGTAAGAGCCAAAGCGGAGGCGGCCGCCAAATCTGGACCAACAAGCAACAAGTCGCCTCGAAAGCAAAGAATCAAAGATAGGCCATCGCCTGAACAGCAGCCCGCCGCTTTCGGGCAGCCAGAGCTTCGCCTAGATACGAATGTACGCGATCGGACTCCTGAACATCACCGATCTGTCCTTTCCGCAATATCTCCAACCTATACGTCTCCGAGCAGTCCGTCCAGCAGGTTACTTCAGGCTGTTAGTGCCTTCCCGGGCCTTGAGCCGCAAGAACTCCGCAGCCTGGTTTTCTTCTGCCAGAGGACGGCTCCAGAATGGTCTGGGTGGAGAGATGCAGCATTCTGGAACAAACTCATTCTGCAGGCTTGTCATCTCAATCGATCTATACTCCACGGAGTAGTCGCTCTCGGTGCCCTTCATGAATCTTCCGAGGCGGACGGGGAGTCGAATGAGCGGTCGGCCTTGCAGCAGCTGGCATTGCATCAAAGCAGCAAGGCATCTCGCATGGCTTACGAGACATCAATGTCGGATATCACGACCCTGATCTCATGCGTCATCTTCATTTGCCTGCAGAACTTACAGGACAGTCACACGGCTTATCAGCTCCTCAAATCCGGCCACAGTCTCATCACCGACATTGACGCAAGGCTGCAATCTGGCGAGCTCGTCCTGTCTGACAGTGAGAAGACCGTCTTGGACAATTTCCTCCGACCCATCATCGAGCGCTTGAGGATGCGATTCTGTAGCATCGTCGATATCCCTTCCGCGCTGACACTTAGCGCGGCCATCAAGCGAAGCAAGACAGAACATCGCCTGGCGCTGCCAGAAATCCCCTACTGCTTTGGCAACCTTCTGGAGGGACGTAACAAGCTCGAGGAAATAGTGGACTGGGGGCAGGAAAACATTGATGCCTCGCTGTTACACTGCGAACAACGAGAACAGGTGCAAGCTCTACTCTTGAACTGGATCGCGGCTCTCGATGATACCCCTGTGACGAAACGTGAACGGTATGAGGCATTGATCACCTCCAAAAAGCTGCTTCGGGCGGCTGCACTTGTCGCCTCAATCCTGTTCGACACGCTGGGGACCGGCGAGGAATGCAACTATGACCACCACGTGGATAAGTTTGCGGAGATCATCGAGTTATATAAAGATGCTATTGGAAACCCAGCCAAAGCCCCCAAGACTACATCGTTCGGGATCGATTCAGGCGTCATCGACACGCTCGCATTCGTCGCTGGACGGTGTCGTGACCCTATGATCCGAAGGTCAGCCATTGCTTTGCTAGCTCAGACAAATCGGACCGAAGGCGACCTCCAGGGTTGCACAGGCAGCACTATCATGCAGACGCTTATGGAGCTTGAAGAAGAAGGCCTCAATGTAACCGAAGCAAACGACGTACCCGAGTCTCAACGGCTTCGTATTTGGGAGGATCACCAATATTGGGAGACGGGCGAGATACGGATCTTTTTCGTCAAGTGGCCATACGATCCGTCTTTGGGTGCCGAAGTAAAGACAGCGTCGGTCTTCCTGCCCCTGAACTTTTCGAGAGCGGCAAAAGAGAAGGCGGCGCCAGGCAGTCCTATTGGATTGCCGAACGTCAGATATCGTCGAGGGTTTGGTGCCTTTCTGGAGGAGGGCACGCAGACATATCATCAGATAACCCTGTCTTCATTCTTTATGCCTGTGCCGAGACTATGAGGGTGAATTGCCCACATGCGCCGAGGCGGGTTGCAGCGGTGGCTTACACGCGGAAAGACGGTAGCGGATCTGCCTAACTCTGGAATGCGGGCTGGACGGTCTCGACACGAATCTCTCCTACAACTCTCTCATCCTTGTCATTGAAGCGCAGATCATATACGCTTTTCCGTCCTTATCGACAAAGTGCTCCAGGCACGGCGCAAAGGTCAGACCTTATCACTCTGTCCTCTATAGGAAAAGCCCCCAAGCAATTGTTATGACCTGCAGCTGGCGTTGCAGGAGACCTCGTTTTCAGATCCGAACTGTAACAGTTGGTAGAAGCGTGATGATGGAATCATGACCTTGGCAGGTACGGCGATCAACTACCATAACAATCTGTCTGTGGTCGACTGGACGTATTACTATGCATTCGGGTCGGCCGCAGGTGATATCGATATTCTCGAAAGAGCCGGTACGACGACAAGGTCCACAGAGTAGTGGAGGAGACGGCATTGAGTAGGACTGCCCTGTGTGTGTCTTCGCTGTCGGAATTCTGGGAGTCGCTGTACAAGCCTTCGTATGGAGAATGTAATGATGCGGAAGTCGGCGCGCTTCGAACCCATCATCAATGTCGATGCTCTAACCCGTTGTTCGACACGTCGAACTCTTGATCTGTCTCGTCACTTGTGAAGCTCTGAATCCGTATCCGAGATTGGCGTTCGTCCAAGTCATTGTGGCTGCCTGGGTGCCATCCTCGTGTCCAACACAGCGTTTGCCTCGTCTGAAACATCCTCGTCCTAACATGTCCAATCTGCGTAACACTGACCGTCAGAACCAAGCTGAGCATCTCAGGGTTGGACGATTCCTCACTGCTCTTCAGCCTTGTGGTGGACGACGAGCACATGTGTGGTCGTCCCTTCTTACACATTTTCCCATGTTTTTCACCCCAACTCTTTGACAATCTTCGACTCCGCCTGATATGTCCTCCTAATTCACACCTTGGAGTCCGGCCACTGGTCGATGTAGTCCGTCTCGCCACGCAGGAGTTTGTCCATGTTGAGCCTCACGCTCCAGCGGATGTTTTGTGTGAACGGCTGACTCCGGTAGCCGCCGTTCGGGGCTGAGATGTCACTATCGATCTCGGACGGTCCGATGGGTCTGTAATGATCGAACAGCTGAGGCAAAACACCGACACAGCGATGGGAGTGGTCTTCATGAATACCCTCACACCATTCGCGTAACATCAAGTCGAAAGCGTTGTCCACCCGCTTCAGACCTAGACTGTTCAGAAGCCCGCGAGCACCAGCTTGAGAGACAGCGTATGCAAGTGAGCACACCCCCTCATGTTGCTTACCCACGAGCCGTGTGTGTGGTGGGTAGTCTGCCAGTGGCGAAACCTCATTTCGATCCCACGAATGGAGAAAACGAACTTCGGGGACCGTTTCATCGTTCTCTTGGATCACGGTGGAAGAGGAATCAGCTATCTCCATCCCACAGTGTCCGAGCCACAGGACATCCCAGCCATCTCCGTAAGGTGACGTTACTGGAGTGTGCGAGAAGGAAAGCTCGTGGAACTTTAGCGCAGCCGAGTCGTGCCGCGAGAGAACGGTGTCAGAGGCCAAGGCGAAGTCTGTGAGCAATGAGCTCAATCTAATGTCCCAGTCCACATCGTCTTCAAGGATCAATGCTGACGTCCAGTTATTCTCCACAACTCTGGGAGAGAGATCAGCACCTGACATCCGCGACGGCTTTGAGGGAAGACTCACCGGCTGATAGCATTCATATGGGCGCGCCAGCTCCCAAGTCGAGCCGGGTCAATGTGCTCCGGATGGTCGGGCGGAAGGACTTTGTCCAGAATCGTGTCACCGCGCACACCGTCCACACGCTCAATGTGCAGGTTTGACACTGCAGCAGCAAGTATCAGGCCATCTCTGTGATCGGTTCTCTCGGGCAAATTGATGGCAAGGATTCTTTCGAACTGAGTTTCACTTTAGTAAAATATCCGACGCCGCACGAGCTGAAGACATACCCCCAAGGTGGCATTCTGGATAGACTGTAGCGACCTTTGCCGTGAACTGCTGATCCCGCTGCGTGATGATGACGAGTGCTGGAAAATGACGCCGAAATTTGAGGAAGAAGAATGCCAAACTATCAAGAGGAAAAGAAATCCAACAAAAGATACAAAGGCTAAGATGGTGATCCGATTTGGCTGAGAAGGAAGGCTGTTCATGACAGAGGCGAAGGGGCGCGCCATGAGCGATCCAGAGCCTGCAGAGGATGGCTTTCTGTGCAAGCCAGCGCCAACTCCGCGGGATATCGAGGAAAGTCCTGACACGGTTGAAAGCTTCTCTCCACGTCGAATGTCTTGTTGACTCGTTGTCGGGTGGTATTCGGTCGCAGGGCGAAATGAAGTCGTAGCTAAAGAGATCTCGAGGGCCTTGTTCTGTGGCGAAGCGCCAAGCTAGAGGAACAAAGCAGAGATTGTACTTTTGGCGTGACCCGTCATTTGCTCCCTTCTTCTGCCACTTTGTCCGGTTGTCAAAGCTCAACGATCCTATTTGACGGCATACGGCATACCTTGCTGTCCCGGAAACGCCCCGCCATTCACTGTAGGAAAGAGCCCATGAAGGAGGCACGTTTCGCTGAAACTTGATCGACCTGGTCTGCCTCCTTAACCGCCGGCCGCTACCTACCCCGATACGCGCCCCAAAGCAGCTTGCCTTTCTGCTAAGCCTTGTCTCGGAGGTTTGCCGGCCCCAAAATGATCCTTGCTAGTCGCCAGGTTGCCCAACCTCAACTACGCCATCCAAGGCTACGAGGTTTGCCGGCTATGCGGAGTCCTGGGGCCGTCGCGTTGGGCGTCCTAATGACCAATCCGAGCAGGGAACAAGCGCCGCATGGAGTGCGTCAAACAGAACCAAAACACTTCCATCAGGTCTTTCCATTATTGGCAGCTACAACCACTCCAAGATAGAACTTGGCGGTCTTCAAGTTGATGCCGGGTGTGCCGAGACCTTGATTTCTGCCGAGCCTGGGTCTAGCCACCTGCTTTCGTTGCATCTGTCGCAGTGACCCTGCCCGTCGCGATCCCAATCTTCTGACCTGCAAGCCCAACCAATGCTACTATTCAGGGGCCAGTCCTGCATATGTCTCGTTTCAATCACAGGGTAGGGATGCTCGGGCTAATCGTGTGAGTGACTCTCAAAAGATACCTGCAGAGGCGCGCAAGGTCAGTCCGCCACCAGATGAACCTGGAGCGTTTCCGATACCATCCTCACGCTAGGGCCAGGGATAGCCTTAATATGCCTTGCAGTCTGTTCTCTAAGGCGAACTGAGGAGTTGAGTCGTCGGTCAGTGGTTCCCGCAGGGCTCCTCATCCCAAGCGATACTTTACTTCTCTTGCATTGAATCCGTTTATCGCGGTGTTCGCAGGTATTTCCAACTTCTCTCGTTGCAATGTACAATATATTTCTCGTCGTTGGGGTTTGTCTTTTTGTGCATGTACTTTGCCAGACGCCCTCCACCTATTTTGTCAACCCTCCTGCCGCAGGAGACGAACTATTCTTTGCGGAAAACAAAGCCTACGATGTTGGTTCGGTGATTGATATACAATGGGTCACTGATGAGGATGACTACAACATATTCCTATGGCAGCAAAGCCTTGGTGTCCAATCTGCCGCCGCAGGTAGCAGCCCAATATACAGTGAGTTCAAATATCTCCCATCTGTTTCGAAGATCACATCCCATCGTGACTGCATTTGCTGATTGGTTATTGTAGCCAAGATACTCGGCTCAGATGAAGAAGGAGGGTTCTCCTGGACAGTCACATTGCAGCAATTCAGCCTCAATCAGTCCAATGTCTTCTTCCTGGCTTTAACGCCAGCTGGAGCACAGGATCTGAATGGGGCGACAACCTCCCATTACATCAACTTGACCGCTGCCCCAGATATAGCACCGGTGGTATCCTCCCCAACGTCTTCTACACTGGCTTCCTCGATTCAAGTCACATCTACGTTGATACCAACAATGACAGCGACGGTCACATCCACACCTCAGCCGGTTCCTCCCGCGTCACAAACCACTGGCACGTCCTCTTCCTCATCAAGCACGACGATTGGTGTTGGCGTCGGCCTCGGACTTGGCATACCTCTACTTCTGCTTATCGGCTTCATCGCAGTACCACGACGATACCGCAGGAAACTCTTCGCAGCCAAGCCGCCTTCGTATGCCAACAGTATTGAGAGGGACAATGTGTATAGTATTAGCGCCCAACCAGCCAAGGGCTACATTGGTGAGCTACCTAGCAGAGAACTGGGTCGGCCTTCTCTTGAAACTCGGCAAAATATGCATGCAGAAGCGGTGGAATTAGATGGATGGCAAATGCGGATGTCAAGAGCAGGCCGTGCACCTGCAAACAACAGCTGAGTACGACACCCGGCGCTCTATGTTGGCGAGGAACATGGGTGAACAATCAGCGCAGACATGTGGGAACGGGATTAGCCTTAAGGAGACGATGGTCATGCTGGATTTGGGGGCAAGGCAGATGGGAGGCCTCTCGCGGATCCGGTGTATCGTTTGGTCCAGTTTTGACAAAGGATGTCGACAGATTTGGTGTGTACAAAACAAATCACTTGGTTTCTAATTCCAGCTTTCGAAGTGGCAAATCTGTTAATGCAGTTGTACTTTGCGTCTCCGAGTGGTGGAAGCTATTGACCACTGCGACCCAATTGCCTTCCCTTCGAGTACATTGGGAGCGCTCAAAACGCATTTGCCTTGCTTTTGAGCACTGTCGAAGTACAGAAACAAGATACATTTTGTCGGATGGACATATATCAAAACCTCCTGTTCCAAAGAGTATATCCTCGTACACGAAGTGTGAGGCGTATTTACAGTTTCCGAGGCGAGTTCGAGCCGAAGACCAGCCGAATCCCCGACGAGGAGCTACGAGCAGGTCCGAACGCTTTGCCAAATGTAGCACAACGTCTACATCCCACGCCTTGGAGTCTACGAGTACAAGTGCCATCTGTTCTCATCATGATTATCCCTAGGCCGCCATGGCACCTATAAACAAGGCTATCCCTCCTGGCGGCAATGGTCTGACAAGACCACCTGAAATATGGCTTCCAGCTCAGAAGACAGTGAATCCGACTTGACCGACCTGAACCCCAGGGCGAGCGTAAGTGGTAGATGGCGTGAGGGAAAGAGTGCATGCTGATCCTGCTGCACAGCTTCGTCAATCATCCTACATTGACCCTTCTACCGGTGCACGACTGAGTAAAACTTTCACCCTCCACAACTTCGATCCCTTCGATGGCTCCCGCGACAACGCTGATGAGGCGAGTCCTCTCCTCGGACAGAGTCGGGATGCCGCCACGTCCACGCCTTCAAAACATGGTTGGCTGTTGTCCAAGAGCTTGGAGTGTGGGAAACAGGTCAAGCAATTCCTACTCTCTGACACTGGCAAAGGGGTCTTCAAATGCGCCCTCGCATATCTCTTAGGCAGTCTGGCGACTTTCGTCCCGCAATTGAGCGATTTGTTCGGCCGACAGAACTCCAAGCACATGGTCGCGACGATCACGGTCTATTTCCATCCTGCCCGATCCCTGGGGAGCATGCTCGATGCGCTCATTCTGGCAACGACGGCATTCCTCTACGTTGCCCTCGTCTCGTTTATGAGCATGAGCATTGCGGCTTTCTTCGCAGACACAGTCCATCTCATTGAACTTGGCCACGCCATCGTGCTGATCATTTTCGTCGGAGGCGGCCTCGGGCTGGTAGCATGGGTCAAGCTGAAGAAGAACGATCCTTTGGTGAACATAGCATGCTCCCTTGTGTCTCTCAGTCTGGTCACCATCCTGACAAAAGAAGGCGCCATCCAGGCTGGGGACTATTCCACAAAATCCATCCTCCAGATATTGAAGATGATTGTCGCGGGAGTCCTGGCGACAATGCTAGTCTCGTTCTTGATCTTTCCCATCTCCGCCAGGCACAAGCTGAGGAAGAATCTTATCCAGGTGACCGACGCTCTGGCTGACATGCTGGCGCTCATCACGAGTAGCTTCTTGTCGGGGGACGAGGCGGAACTGGAAGATCATGTACTGCAAGAGGTCAGCGATCAGCATAAGAAGGCGTCTTCAACCATCACCCAGAATCTGAAAGAAGCACGATATGAACATTACCTGTTAGGCACCGAGCGACAGGCGTTGATTGAGGCCCGACTATCCCAGTGCATTCAGCGAATTTCACAGAGCATTGGTGGTCTCAGAAGTGCCGCAGCCATGCAATTCGTCGTTACCAAACAGCCTGCATTCGGTTCCATCCAGTCCACAGCACAGCATCCTGCAACACCGGGGTGGATGGATTCCATGGAGAGTTCCAGGATAATAGCCAATGACCGTGACATCTTGAGCTACTTTACACCACTGTCGCCAACTCTGACAGCAAACTCCCAACGTGGTTCTGCACAGCCGGCATCGTTCCGAACCCCAGCGCAAATATTCGAGCTTTTCATCCAGAACCTAGGTCCAGCTATGAGATCACTGGCCTTCACGCTCAAGGAGATCCTGGACGACTGCCCGTTTGATGCGTCGAAGCGCTACGTTGTCACGACCAATCCAAAGTTCAAATCTAGTCTCGAGCGCGCCCTGGACCTGTACCGGAATTCTAGACGTCAGGCGCTCCTTGTGGTATACAGTCAAAAGGACATGGATCGCTCTCGACCGATACCTGTACAAGCAGATTGGGAAGATGCGGCTGCGTGTTGTGGACACTTCTCTTACTCTTTGGTTGAGGTCGCCGAATCAGTCCATCAATACCTCATCATCCTCGATGAACTCCAGCTTGAAGTCGATGAGCAACCAGCTGGGAAGACTTGGCGATGGTTGCAGTTCTGGCGACCACTGCACGGTGAGACTGATCTGGATGGCCTCGAGCCCGACTTTGCGAGATCGGTCAAGAGGTCTGATGAAGCCGAAGTCCAATTGAGCAACAAAAATCTCAGGGTCGGTCGACACCATGACGAGCCTCACTGGCCTGATCAACCACGCGTCAAACAAATATTCTTCCGTTACCTCTACGCAGCAGCATCCTTCCTTCAACGCGACGATGTCAGATTTGCCATCAAGGTGGGTCTGGGTGCAATGCTATATGCCGCGCCGAGTTTTATACCTGCTACGCGACCAATTTACCAGCACTGGCGGGGAGAATGGGGCCTGGTAACATATATGCTTGTATGCAGTATGACGATTGGAGCTTCCAATACTACGGGCTACTCCCGAGTGCTTGGGACTTGTCTTGGAGCCTTCCTCGCCGTAGCCGTCTGGGAGATATCCAGAGAAAACCCCGTTGTTCTAGCGCTCCTTGGATTTGGGATGGCATACTGGACGGCATACATCATTATTGGAAAGGGCAAAGGTCCGATGGGCCGGTTCATCATGTTGACCTACAACCTCAGCGCGCTCTATGCGTATAGTCTCTCAGGAGTTGAGGACCGAGACGATGGAGACGAAGAGCATGCCGGCAAGCATCCTCTGATCGTCACAATTGCCGGACATCGAGTAGTCGCCGTCATTTCGGGTTGCATATGGGGCCTTATCATCACCCGAGCTGTATGGCCTATATCCGCGCGGCAGAAACTCAAAGATGGCCTAGCACTCCTGTGGCTACGAATGGGATTGATTTGGAAGAGAGATCCATTGGCCACCTTGACCGAAGGCCTTCATCCCGATCGATACATGAATCTGCGGGAAGAGTTTTACCTGCAGAGATTCCTGGCTAACCTCCAGAGCCTGGCAGAAACCTCCAAGAGCGAATTCGAGCTCCGCCGGCCGTTCCCACACGCGATCTACAGCCGGATACTCAAAACTACTGAGCAAATGCTGGGAAGCTTCCATGCCATGAACGAGGTGATTCTCAAGGATCCACACATTTCACCGGGCGAAGAAGCTTTGCTCAAGGCGACAGTCAACGAGCGAGCTCAATTGTGTCGACGCATCAGTCACATGTTCAGCGTATTGGCAAGCTCAATGAAGCTTGAGTACTCGATCACAAGTGACGCGTTGCCCAGCATAGAGCACACGAGAGACAGGCTGCTGGCGAAAGTATTCGAGTACCGAAGAAGCGATGCACAGGAGCAGAAAGTCAAGGACGAAGACTATAGCCTTTTGTACACGTATGCCCTCGTCACCGGCCAGCTAAGCCTCGGGATCGAGAGTGTACTGAGGGAGGTGGAGAATCTTTTCGGCGTGCTTGACGAGGAGGCTTTGAGGCTTCAGTAGCGATGAGGAACCCTGCCTGCAGGGAAGCCATTCAACCTTAACAACAGCAAGTCTGCAGCAGACGCGTGTCTTTCTACTATATATCGTAGTAAAGTTACGTTACTGCACCCTGTCACTTTATGCTCTCCAACATCCAGTCGTGGTCATCCACCCAGGCCAATGGCTGGTCCGATTGAATGGGTCTGTCGCAGTGGTGGATGACGCACGATGGGGTATTTAGGGGACCCAAATGTTCTTGTTTGGGTCCCGCTAAGCTTGATTAAGGCCCCTAAGCGCGAGCCTGGGGTATTCACAGCCTTCCGGTCGCCTAAGTGTCGGCGTGTTTTGGGCCGTGACATGCCCAAGGCTGCGTGGGCTACATTCGTGATGTGTGGCTGTGCCTAGCAAGACACCCACAATAAGAGGGGCGCGTATCACACAACTTGCTGCGCCTGTTGATGATGAAGTGCAACTTACGGATCGATAATTAAGATAGTTCTACAAGGATTCGTTCTTCTCCCCTCGTCTCCTCCTGTGAGAGTATCACCTCGTTATGCGCAGACTGTAGACGTGATCCCGAGTCGCCCTTGACGGTCACATCTTTCGACAAGATGCTGGACGAGAATCTCCCAAGTACGTATGACACCTGAATTGACAAGCAGTAGTTGACTGAAGGCTATAGCTTTTGTTCTGAAGCCGTCCAAAGAGAAACCGAAGCAACTGTCGACCTTCCTCTTCTCCCAGCATGGGGCCGAGTTCGAGCCTCATTACACGCTGCGACACCTAGATCCGGAGCAGCATGCTTCTAGAAACAGATATGCCGCAGCTCTCTACGATGCCTACAGCCCCGATGTCCTCTACGCCGAAGTGCTACTCATTCCAGAATGGACGCAGCCTCCACCGCTGTCAGAACAAGCGAAAGCGAATGGTGCCATTCCACCTCCGCCAGAACCTATCCTCCCGTCCCAATTTGCGATACAGCTGTACAACCCAGACCAGCAGATCACTGTGAGGCACAGGCCAGCAAGTTTCAACAAAGCTGCGGCGTGGGAGTTTGAAATGCCGCAACAGACATTTCGAGCGCCTTCGGGTTCCGTCTTGGACCGCACGCAACACGATCCTGCTGGTTCAGAAGTCACACCCAAAATTGTGTTCAAATGGAAGAAGGACGGCAAATTCTCGAAAGACCTAGCTTGTTTCATGTCTGGCAAGAGCACAGATATAGAGGGCAAAGCGAAACACAGGGATCCAGACATAACGGTAGCAATATTCCAGAGCCTGAAAGAGTTGACCTTGTATGAGCCGAACCTACAGAGAGTCGATGTTGAAGACCTAAAAGGACTGGAGGTGGTTCTTCTGCTCGGAGCTGCCGTCATCCGAGATGTTTACTTTGGAACTCTCAAAGACACCTTCAACCTGAATGCGAGAAAGAAATCCAACGCGAACGATCCCAATGGGCCGTCTATTTTGTACCCGGATGCTTCTCCTCAGTCAGCATCGCCTGTCCACGACTCCCGAGTACCTCCAACAGACCCTCGAACTCAGTGGGAACTCGAAGCCGAGGCTGCGAGACTGCGGAGGCAAGCTCTAGAGGAGGAACGGCAAAAAAAGCGTAGAGAAGAGGAAGAAGAAAGATTGACCAGGCAATTGCTGGAAAGGGAGGAGAAGGAACAGCGAAGAATGCAACAAGCCAAAGTTGACCAGGAGACAGAGTGGGTGAAACGGATGTATGGTCAAGAAGATGCATCTATTCGCCCGAACATACCTCCTCGAGACCCTCGACAAGGAAGACATCATTCTGAAACTGGACAATCTGCATATGCACAGGCACACCAGGGACATCCTTCTGTGCCTCAATATGCGAACGCCTGGGGGGGATACTCCCCTGCTCCCTACATGTCTGGAGCCGCCTCCCAGTCCAGTTTCCTAACGCCCATACCTACACAACAGCAGAACTTGAAGCAGAAATCGAGTTTCTTCAATTTCCGCCGCCGTAGCGACCACGATGCAAATAAGCTGCAAAGGAAAAGAAGTGCCGTGTTTTGACTTACGGAGCTGCCTATTTCAGGCAGAGCGAGCCCTGCACACGGGCTGCGACCGGCAATATTCCCGGTCTCTGTCATGTCATCACTTCCCGCGATCTGGATAGGTGATGAATTCTTCACTTGCACCTCAAAATTATCTGCGCTGAGTCTTCGCCGACTCTGAAACTGCCATACACCCAATTCAGACATCATGGCTACTGCTGGCAAAAGAATCGTCTTTACTGGCGGGTCTGGAAAGGCTGGACGACACTGTATCCCATATCTCCTGGAGAAAGGACATCAAGTGTTGAATCTCGATTTGGTGGATTTTCCAAAGGATCATATTCCAGCCGGCAAGAATGTCTACACCATGAAGACCGACCTCACCGATGGCGGGCAAGTCTTTAACGCCCTGTCATCGCTGTTCTCCATGGCCGAGTTCGCATTACCAAAACATCCTGGTCCGCCTGACGCCGTTATCCATTTTGCTGCGTATGCCCGCAACATGATTGTGCCGGACAGCGAGACATTCCGTGGCAATGTCATGAGCACGTACAATGTGATCGAAGCAGCTGCCAAACTGGGAGTGAAGAAGATCGTCATTGCCAGCAGTGAGACGACGTATGGTGTCTGTTTCACACAGGGTGACGACGACTACCTGAAATTCCCGCTTGAAGAGGACAACTACGATCGCAATCCGGAGGACTCATACGCTTGCAGCAAGTTGGCTGGCGAAAGGATTGCCCGTACATTTGCCCGCCGTTTCAACGTAGATATCTATGCCCTGATTATCGGCAACGTCATCGAGCCACAGGATTACGAACAGAACTTTCCACGGTTTGTTGGCATGCCTGAAACGAGGAAGAGGAACGCCTGGAGCTACATTGATGCGCGGGATCTTGGCCAGATTTGCGATCTTTGCGTCGCCAAAGACGGCTTGGGCTTCCAGGTATTCAACGCGACAAACGACACTATTACCACTACAACGCCGACAGAAGAGTATCTGAAGAAGACCTGCCCGAACACACCGATCACGAGAAAGATGGGAGAATGGGAGGCACCTTTGTCCAACAAGAAGATTCGAGACGTACTGGGATTTAAGGATGTTCACGATTGGAGGAAATACTATACTCACAAGGAATAAGCAGGAGCGTTGTATAGCCGTGTCCGTCACATTATGGCTGGCAGCGTGCTGATGAAGCAGACAACGCCCCAGCTGTGCGGCCTCAGGGTACGACAGACGGCTCTTGGTTGGCACCAATCAGTGCGAGGCTGCTGGCCCTCCCACCCTTGCTCAGCTGAACCCATAGTTGAGGGCATTGCCGTGCCGCTGCCGCCCGAAGCCCCAATGATTGACTGATGTAATTAAATCCTGCGGAACGTTGAGAAGTGGCCCAGTCCAGCTATCCGTGTAACTTCTGACAGTCGCAACCAAGAAACAAATTAATTCCCGTTCGGGGTCTGCTTCGTAGCATCGTAGGTAGCTTACGTACATGTCAACCGAGGATGAAAGCTAGTTAGGCGAGCGAGCTATTGCGGTGTTTCTCAGCTTCGGCGTTGCAAAGCCCAGCCACTCAAATCTCGGGCCAGTCGCACTTGCATAACGCGCAAGACAATTCGATCAGCGCGGCTGCCAGCAAAGCAGACTGTCCACACAGACCTCTCGACCAGTTCTAACGCACCCATCGTCTGCGCAAGGCCACCACCACTGGTTATCATCAGTTATCCTTTCTGTGAGACGTGACATCGACTCCATTCCAGTAATGATACCGTTGCCGCCAACGACACTCGCGCAACGACTTCCCTTGAATTGACTCCGCATGTTAAGAGCGCCCCGACCGCTTCGCGATCCTAGTTGATTGCGCCATGGGAAAATCAAGCTCTGGCCGGGATCGCGCCGGCTCAGAAATGTTATCAAGGTCCGACCGACGTCGCAGCTATGACCACGAATCTTCTAGGCGGCATTCGGGTGCAGATTCGTTGAATTCTTCCTCCCGCCGCAGGTCGACCCGACGCGACGAATACGATGATGATGGCGCTACGTTTACATCTACGATTACAGAAGAACCCTCGGAGATATCGGACCGGCGGCGGAAGAGTTCAAGGAGAGAGGACGATGACGATGATACGCGGAGGTCGAGCAAAGGCGATAGAGGTTTGAAGGATGACCGAAGGCGCGGGGAGGAGGGCCGTCGCGAGTCTCGCAGGGCCGGCAAGTCAGAAAGGAGGGAGAAAGAGAGAGGAAGCACACGCGCCTTCGGAGACCACGACGCTGCTTTGCCTCAGAATCAGTTCCCAGGAGAATTTCCTGATACCTACGCTCAGCCATACCGACCACCCGGATTAGCTGCGGAATACTATAACGACCATGGAGAATCAGTACAATCCCAACCCGGTGTCCGACCCAACCAACCGAGTATCGTGACGAACACTGAGCAAGCACACCTCATGGAGCCTACAGTGGAACCAAAGCCTCCACCTGAGCCCAGCAGCTTGGGCCAGATTGGTGCGGCCGCAAGCTTCTACGGCGATACTAATTACGAGAATGACTCTGGACATCAAACAACCCCTTCGAAGCCTCCCCGGCTAAGTTCCGGATCATACAGGCCCGCCAAGCACAGCACGTACGGCGCGAGCCCCAGATCGAGCCCTGGACCGCAGGGGAACATTGCGCCGTCTGCGCAGACTCCAGGTGGAATAGGTTTCGCGGCACCAACAGCCGCTGTGGTGGGGGCTGCAGCCGAGTATTATGCGGGCGGAGGCGGAGGAGGGTCTGCAAGCGCATATCAGACACCAAATCGACCGCCGCCTGGGCCACAGCCAGGATTCACTCCGTACTCTGCTCCTCCTGGAATAGGCGGCTCACAATATCACTCCAATGCGGCCTTGTACGGCGGAGCCGCGGCACTCACCGGCGCAGCAGCTGGAGCTTACATGTCATCTCATGCTCACCAGCATCACTCCCACAGCCAGCACCAGACCTCGACCCATTCCTCTGGCTATACGAATGGATTTGCCCAGTCGCATGGAGGACAGATGCATCAAGCTCATCGACACAAGCATAAGGGTCTCTTCGGCAAATTTGTCGACTGGTGGCGAGATCCCGAGGCAATTGCGCAGTATGAGCAATACACGGAAGCAATCGGTGTATGCAAATACTGCTTTGACCCTATGAGCACACCGGCAGACGCCCCTCGCAAACATGGGTATCGCCGTCGGACGCCTTCTGGTGGTCGGCACGGAAGCACTACTCGAGTAGACAAGACGTACAGATATTCTTCTGACGAGGAGCGACGGAGACGCTCTGGCACAAAGGTGGCGCTTGGCGGTTTGGCCGGTTATGGTGTTGCTAAAGTGGGGGAGGCTATGTACAAGCAACGGCACGATTTTGACGACACCTACTCTGTCAAATCAGGCCACCCCGTGAATCAGAGCAGGGTCAGTTTTCACGACGAGCCCCAGTATGAACGCTATGGAGATGTCAGGCTCCAAAGACGCGACAGCGATAGGAAGACGAAGAAATCCGAACAGGCCTCGCACAAGGAGAAGCCCCGGCGCCGCAGATCTCGCTCGTCTTCCTCCACCTCCTCCTCACACGGCATCTCTCGTGGTGCAGCAATGAGTGCTGGTGCTGCTGTTGCTGGCGCTGCTACAGGTGCTGCGGCGCTGGATAGAAAGACCCGGCCGCGGAGTCGAAGCAGAAGTCGATCACCAACGTCAAGAAGGAGATACTACTCAAAACGGGTGTCGCCAATGCATTCTTACGTGGATCTTTCGGCGACGAATGATGCGCCTGGTGGCCTATTCGGCTTCTTTACCTCTCCTTCAGCCAACACGAAGAAGGGCAAGAAACCAAAAGGGCTGTTCAATTTTGGGAACGATTCCAGTTCTTCGTCAGACGCGGATCTTCAGTTTGGGGCCGGCACTGTTCGTCGGAAGCCTTCTACGAGGCGACTGCGCACGAGACATGACAAACCTCAACAGGACCATTCAGCTGCTGCGATGATGGGAATGGTGGCTACAGGTGCTGCACTCGCAGCTGAAGTTGATAGGAGGCACGAAAAAGGTAAGCGAGCGCACGACACTGACAGGTATGCAGGCCGAAGTAGCAGACACGCAAGCGAACACAGGATATCCATGGGCGACCACGAAACCGGCGGACGGGATGATGAATGGTACGACACGGACGACGATGCCGACTCTGATACGAGTGTAGACACCGCGTTGGCGTACGGGGGAGGAATTTCCGCGGCGCAAAGTCGAGAGTCCCTTATCCAGGATCGCAAGTCAACAAGGCCCAGCCACAATTTCAGAGAAAGAGATCAACGAATGTACCACGATGGCCATGCAAGTTATGCCCCGACAACTTCCTTCCCTGTCTCTGCAGCTCCAACCACTGTCCTTGCACCAGTTGCAGGAGCCATGGGTGAACGGGTGGCGTCAGAGGCAGTGCACCAAGACCCTCGACTGCCGATGAGCCCCTTGCCACCAATGCGGGAAGTTGAGCCTCGACCACTATCAGATCCACCCTCAAAAATAGGTACGCCGCAGGTGACGCGTGTTTCGTCGACGTCTGTCCCGCTCCAGCAGCCGCAACCAGTTGTTCCGGTTGCACCTTTTATCAACGACATCGGTTCACAGTCGCCCGAGCTTCAAAGACGCCTGGGTCGAGAGGCTCAAAGTGAAAGGAGGCGACCAAGACGAGACTCAAGCCCAGCCAAATTACCCACGCAGGACCCGAGAAGCAGCGTCAACTTCAGCCTGACCCAGGAGCAGCTCGAGAACGAAAGGCGCGCCAAAGACAGGGACGATAGGCGGAAAATCGGTTCAAGCGGCGATGCCCAGCGAAAGTCTGCTGATGCAGGCAATCTTGAGAACACTTCGTCTAGGCGGGTCGAAGCATCCCACCAAGAGAGAAAGCCACGAAATAGACGGTCTTCTGAAGCGACTCGGAGATCTTCCGATGGTGATGAGCGCGTTGCTGAGATCGAACGAGAGCTTGAGAGGTTGTATGAGGAGCATCGGCAGGCTGAGGAAAGAAAACGCAGGAGAGATTCGGGACTAAAGAAAGCAGCACAAGCAGCCGCTATAGGCACTGCAGCAGCCGTGACTGCGGATGTTTTGGCTGGGAGGGACAGCAAAGCTGGGTCCGGCGAAGAGTCGACACCAAAACGGAAATCAAGCCTCAAGAGGAGCCGCGAAAGGGAAAGTTCGCCGCAGTCTGAGACTCAGCAGGAACGGATTGCCAGGATGGCTGCTCAGAGGGTCAGATCGACCCCATCACCAGTTCAGCATGACGACTACGGCTCTTTCTTCGTCCCGACCGAACTCAGAGAGCATCTGAAAGAGCACAACGACAAGGCTGAACACCGAGACGACATCGGAGCAAATGTGGTCGAGATTGTTCCTGGGGCACCGAAATCTCGTCGACCACATCCATTTGATCCCTTCACGTACCGCCACTTTGGCGCTGAGCCAGCAGACGATCCTTCACTCTACCCCTGGCCTGTTCCAGTACTCGCCTTGGTTGAACCGACACCACCAGGTAGCCAAACGCACAGCGTTCGTGGCGATGAGACTCCCGTCGTCGAGCCGAAGAGAACAGAGCCGCTGGAGAAGATTGGTGAACCACTCGAGCGGAGGGAATCCAAGGTTACTTGGGGCGACCACGACACCTACGTCTATGAAGTGCAGACTCCCGAGTATGAGCGGAATGATTTCGCATCTGGCGGGGAGACGGGCGAACCGAGGATCGCTGACATGCCTTCGCCAGATGAGATCCTTGACGAGCCAAATCCGTCAGGCGAGGAATCCCAAAGTCGACCCAGTCTTGGTCGTACTTGGACGCTGGAGGACGGTGAAGCAGAGAAACTCGAGAAAGAAGTGCCGGTTATCGATGACAGACCTCGAATAAGCCGTGCTTGGACGGTCGACGACAAGGAAGCCGCCGAAATTGACCACGAAGTTTCAGGATCACCGCTGGGTGAGAGTGTCACTACACCTGAGCCAAGTCCGGAAATCATTGCGGTCGAGCCCAAATCTCAAGCACGTCCATCTATTGTGGCTGAGCCAGAAAAGTTGCCAAGAGCACCCTCGCCTCCTGGACAAGCCAGAGCGGGTCGTTCCCAGGCCTTTTATCAGAGTCCCTTTGCCGAGTCCGTCAGCGATGTCGGCGTAATGGGCGCCTATCATACGCCAATCCGCTCTGAAGGGGAGGGAACGGGGACAATCGAGGAGACGCACGCGACGCACGATCAAGGCCGGACCGAAGATGCCACGTCTGAACCACAAGTGCTGGAGACATCTCCGGGCCCCCGGACGAGCAAAAGTGAACAACGTCGCCGAGAGCGCGCAAGCTCTTTGCCTGACGTAGTTCGACCGTCGGGATCTGAGCAACAGCCGACTGAGCCCGAAAGTGATACCGCTTCTCCACCACCAATTCCGGGCACCGACAGCGTCTTTGATTACTTGGTGAATGGCAAAGGGGAAAGGGCTGCCCCCGCTTCGGTACTGGGGCTGGGCGCGGCGGCAGTCCTTGTAGCCGACCAAGTTGCAACATCAAGGGAGGAGCACGAACAACCACGACCCCGCGTGTCCGCGGAAGTGGATCAGCCCTCGAAGCCGAAGCGGTCGAGCACATACGACGATTCGAAATCGCAACGGTCACGATCGGGGTCAAACGCCGGATATCAATCCGACCCCGAGGACTGGGAACGCTCAACGGACAAGTCGGGAAAGCCAAAGTCAAGTTCAAAGAGCGACGTAGGTGCCAAGTCGTCAAGCAGGTCGGGGAGCCGGCGCGAATTGGATAGGGCGACTTTCGCGCCCCTCCCGAAATCTGCCGCCGAAGATGACCTTGACGAGGATTCAGCCTCACGCCCGAGCTCACGGCATCGCCACAAGGACTTTGACGAAGAATCAACCATCAGTCGGAAAAGCAGAGATGGAGAGAAGAAGTCACGAAGCCGCCGCAATAGAGATGCAGATGGTTATCGGGATGATGACGCACGTTCGGTCGGGAGTAGCGACTCGAAAGGAAAGAAGAAGGAAACAGGGGGGTTTTTCAGCAGCATCTTCTCCAGCAATAAGAGCGATGTGAGTACATCCAGCAGAAAAAGCTCAAAGTCTACCAAGTCAGAGGGCCGAGCAGACCGTGACCGTGACGACCGCTCCGAATCTCGCAGAAAACGCAGGTCCAGGGACAAAGCAGAATTTGACGACGGCGCGTCAGCGGTGTCAGAGCCGACTCGAAAAAGCCGTCGAAGCTCAGATCCTCAAGAGGCAGCTGCCGATCGGAATGAATCCTCGAAAGACCAGAGTCTTGATGATGGTTTCGTGTCCGCTGAAGAGGCCGCTGAGTCACCAATTAAGAATGTCAGAGAAGGCGAGTCTTTTTTAGCGAGTCGCCCCGAAATGCCAGAACCAACGGTCATGGATATACCAATGGGTACTGATGGTGTCTCGGGGCCAATATCCGAGAGAGATCCATCTGCGCAACCTGACATTGTTGCCAGCACTCCGGTAAAGGCACCAATCGATGTGACAGACGATGGTCTTGAACGCCCAGTGTCGCCTTCAACCGAGCGCGGGCGTCCTGGATTCTTGCCTTTCGAGCCATTGCGAGCGACGGAGAGAGAATCTGCAGATCCCAGGCTCGAATCTCCACCCGTCTTTTCGCAGATTGCTGAATCACGACGCCTATCTGCCATACGGACCAGCGACGTGCCTTCTAGTCCTATCGCCACAAGTTCTCCGACCGCCGTACCACTGCAGTTCCGCCGCCCACACATGTCGCCAACAAACCAACGCTTTTCGATGAGTTCACCTGTCGCAGCTCCCAGCTCTCCACTATCTACGCCTCGAACTCGACAAGGTAGACCCAAGTCTACAGAATTCCGTAACAGCAAGGAATTCCGACCGCTTTACCTTGTGGAAAGACAAAATTTTGCGAAAACGGCTGCAACCGAACCTCAAGAGGACCTGCCTTCGTTACCATCTAGCAGGACCAGTTCGGCACATCCGTCGATGGAAGATCTTCGAGCAGAGGCCCAAGCATGGGAACAGTCCGAGTACGTCACTCCGTCTCGAATGAGCGCCGAAATGTTCCGAGAGCGCGGTAGACGACACAGCTTCTCGTACTGGCGCGACAGTGGGAAGCGACGTGAATCCCCAGATTACTTGGATTCTCGATCGGCTACCCCTGTGCCGGGCGAAGCACAAAGAGCTCGTGATCAAGAAACGAAGCCTAGGCTGAAGTACGAGTTCCATTCCCCGAGCGAATTGCTGCAGGATCCAGCATTGCTACGTGATGTACCTCCGGTGGAGGATGCCGACGCACTCCAAAGTCCTCTTCCCAGTGTTGCGAGCACAGACCTGGATCAGGACTACATGAGCGCACGAAGCAGGAGCTTCTCACCGACGACAAGAGCCCGAAGCCTGAGCAGGGGTCGACGAAGCGCCTCGACCACAAGATCAACGTCGGCGTCCTGGCACGATGCATTGACTACTGCAGCAGCTGGTGCGTTGGCAGGCTCCGTACTGGGCATCGCTGCTCATGAAGTTCTGCGAGAGCCGTCCGATGAGGTTCCGTCCGATGAAGTGGCAACACCACGGAAGTTTGGCTTCTCTCCAGAGGAGGTCGCGGCTCTGAAAGAAGAGCCTGATCCCGTGGATCTCCAGCAGGATCGGAGTCTTTCTACATCTGCGCCGGTAACCGAGCATCAACCTCTGGAACAAAATGCTGAGCCACAGTCGGAAGAAAAGCCTCAAGCCGCCACTGAGGGAGTGCGAGATACTAGCGCGTGGAAGAATGTCTTTTCGGAGCTACACGAGCGTGAACGTAGCTTGCACCCTATGTCCCAAAGCACAGATGTCGCGACGGCCGAAAAGTCAGCATCTGAGGTCTTGGTGGATGATGTGGCACCTGAAGTTTCTGTGCTAGTCGCCCCAGTTATGGCACCTGTGCAAGGAGTGGCCGAAGCTCATCACTCAAATCCATCCGAGTCCACAGGGCCAACACCGCAGGTAGAGGACTCCGCGTTGTTAGCTGAAGACGATCTTCAACAGCCGGTGCGAGATGCTGAAGAGCTAACCCAGGAATCAAGCAGCAAAACAAAGAAGTCGAAAAGGGACAAGAAGGGCAAGAAGAAACGGTCCACTCCGACATTGGACGAAGATCCGCCACCCACGCCAGAAGAAGGTATGGTGCCAGACAAGAATGGGGCTTTGGTTCGAGAGATGTCACCATCTGGAGTGCCAGCAACTGATCCAGAAACAACGCTGAACCTGGACAGAAGTGTCGAAACTGCCCCAGAAGCAACGCCAACACAAGCTGAATCAGGGGTGCCACCTTCGACTACCATTGATGACGAGCGGAAAGATGTTGACGGGCCGCACGAACAAATCTCCATTCCAAGCGACAAGACCATTGACCATCAGGCACCCGCTCCAGCCGATGTCAACCCGTTTACGAATCCTCTTGATGAAGCTTTCGAAGCGGCTATCCAAGCCAGGGGTTTGGCCGACGGCGCAACTCTGGAGGCAGCGTACCAATCGTTCCATCCAGAAATTCCCGATATCGGTGGTACCGAATTGACAGCCATAGAGGAAGAAAGCGAGCCTCCTACTTCTGCTACCCCACAAGAGCCTACATCGACGGACCCTGACTCTCTTGTTGGCCGCAAGTCATCGAAGAGAGACAAGCGAAAGCAGAAGAAGTTGAATCAAACTCTGCCTAACGACTCGCCTGGAGCGGATCTGCCGCGTGCCCATGACGCGGACAAACCGGAATTCGATATCGATCGGTCGGTGGCCGTTACTAGTGCGGATCAGTTTTTGCCTGAGGAGCGCGTCTTTGCAGAGCCTACTCCTGCACTTGAACGCCCAAATCCGTTCGGCGATGATTTCGAGATCAAATCTACTGGAGATGGTGTACAATCGACTGCCTTCGGTAGCAGTCCGGCGACGGGTGAAATAGACAGCGGGCAGGCTACTCCCAAGAAGGGTAAGAAAGACAAAAGGAAGAAGAAACGACAGTCTTCTACCTGGGAAGAGGAAGCTGCCACAGAACAGGCCGAGACAGTTGTGCAGGTCGAAGGTACCGACCCTGACCCTCAGGCAGTGCTTGACGAGACAACAGCCACAAGGCACGACGGCGCACCAAGCCGCGAGGTTGCTCTTGAGGAAGATGTATTTGCCACCCCAGCCGAAAGTCCTCAGGAGGAATCAGAGGATCCTTGGAAAGTGGACCCTAAACCGGGAAAGAAGTCGAAATCAAAGAAGGTAGGCCTGCGTACTACCTTGGACGATTCGCCCGCTACAGCCCTCGAAGAATCACCTGTAACTGCGCCGTTCTCCGAGCATGGAAAGTCCACTCACGAACTCCTGGATTCAGCAGACAAGTCTCGAGATGCTGTGTTTGCGGAGAAAATAGTCGACAAGTCAGGCATCGACGAATTTCCTACGGCTGTTCCCCCTTTACCAGCGACTGGTCCGGTTGAGGAGTCTCATGCCCAAGTTGACTCGGAGTCGGCAACCAGAAGCATCACAGATATGGTCGAAGGGGAGCAAGTATCCATCTCCGAGGCAACAAACGGGGAGCGCGCTCCACAGTCCCAAACAGAGGAGAAATCGCACTTGGGCGACGAAGTGGATGTTGGCATCCCTTTGGGAGCGACTGCCGCAGCGCTCTCCGTCGCCACGGATCGCCCCCAGGAGGAACTATTCGAGCCAGTCTTGGAGGCGCATGAACCCGTTGTAGAGAAGTCAGATGCTGAAGGTGTGACCGACGCAACACACGCAGCCAGTCTTGACCCTGCGGAAGATGCGAATGACACCGACATGAAAGACGTGACTGAAATTTCTGTACCTGAAGTTTCAGATCGTCCAGCTGAATCCGCCGAGCAACTCGAGCCAGAGGCTGCGACTACTTCTTCCGTCACTGAGCATGTCGTAGAGCAAACCCCAGAGCATGTCCCAGGCTCGACGGACCACGAGCATGCAGAAGAGTCTGTCGCTCCTTCAACACTGGAGGTTCCAGCAGAGACTCTGCTTGCTGACCAGGACTCGCTGACTCGGCAAGGAGAGGACTTCTTCCCTATCACGAAGAAGGCCAAGAAGGATAAGAAAAAGAAGCGGACTGCTACCTCTGAAGGCGCACAAGTTGTCAATTCCAGTCAAGAGTCTCCGTTAGTGGAAGAAGTGATCACGCCATCTGTACCTTACTCACTCGCGGAATTCGGAAGGAAAATCGACGTACCAGAACCTTCAGAGCCTGCCGAAACACAGATTCCAGTTGCCCCAACTCTGGATGAGGCGATACATGCCCCTGAGGCGCCCACTGAGGAACCATCTCAGCCGGACGACGACCTCTGGGCTGTTCCGGGCAAGAAATCTAAGAAGGACAAGAAGAAGAAGAAGCGGCAATCAACTCTAGCTGAGACTGACATCGCATCTTCTGCTGAGTCTGCAGCAGTCACCGACGAGAAGACGATCGGCGCCGATGTTCCACGAGAAATAGAACCCTCCGACACGCCCACCGGCTCGTTTGACCCTTCAACCGAGTCAGTGGCGCCAGCGCTTGTTGGGGATGAGCCTAGGCAAGATGAAGCCCTCTTTCCAGTATCAACTAAGAAGTCGAAGAGCAAAAAGAACAAACGCGGTTCAAATTCAGCTTTTGATCAGCCAGATGTGCCTCCTCCGGCCGAAAATGCACCCTTAGATGGGAACAATGTTCAAGACGCTGATAGCTACGAAAACATGGTTGCCACGGATCTGTCACAACCTACTGACCATGGCGAGCTCCAAGCCGACTCGCCATCGACCCCTGCCAAGGAAGCACCTCCAGAAATGGATGATGAATTTACATCCACGAAGATATCGAAGAAGTCAAAGAAGGACAAGAAGAAGCGACGGACATTCATCGATGATTCTGACGAGCCGCAAAAGGACGGGGTTGGTAGTCAGGAGGCGGAAACCGCGGCGCCTACTGTTCCGGAACAGATCCCGGAGCCTGGTGCGCTGGCAGAAGTGTCGGTGGAGACTACCGACGATATCCGAAGACCGGAGAGGACAAACGCTCAAGTTGTGGGCGCAGACTTCACTCAAATTCACGAGCCTGAGCGAATTCCAGAAGCGGCCGCTGAAATCGTCTATGATGCTCCTGTTACCCGCGACCAGACAGATTCCCCGACCGATCTTGAACTTTCGTCTACTCGTGAGGGATCCGCAACCGATGAACCACAGACGATGAACGTGCCTTGGGAAGACACTGTGTCTGAACATTTGGCTGACGTGGCTCCGGAAGCGGAGACATCAAATGTTGAGCGTTCGATTGAGCCGGCAAACTTTCAGGCTTCCGTGGCTGAGGTCCCGGTCCATGACTCCGTCAAAGTTGAGACGGCAACCGTTGAGCCTCCAGCTGTTGAGGCTCCGGTTGTACAGTCTCTCGTCCATGCGCAAGTCCCGACTGAAGCGGCTGCTGACGAGTCACCCGCCGTCGAGGTTCCATTACCTCAACAAGTCACTGTTGAGCAGGCAGCCGATGAGCCATCTACTGCCGGTGCTGTGGCTGTACAGTCCTTGGTGCATGAACAAGGTGCGGTAGAGACCGCGGTCGTTGAGCCTCTTAGTGGTGAGGCTCCGGTCACACAGTCTCCCGTCCACGAAACGGCGACTCTTGATCCTCTTGTCGAAGATGAACCTGTTGTCGAGACAAATATCCGATCTATAATGGATGAGGCCCATGTTGACGTGCCCAAGGCAGTGGAGTCTTCAACTGTCGGACCTGCAATTGTACGGGCTCCGGTTCCTCAGGCTCCTTCTGATGAGGTAGCAGCTCTTGATGCCTTAGCTGCTCGTACTCCAACCATGGAGCCCCATTCTGCTACAGATGTCGCGGATCAGGCTCACATCGACGCGCCGGTCACAGCTGAGACGCAAAACCGTGAGACCTTGTATGACGAGGCTTCCGGCGTCACCACAAATGCAATCGATCCTACCGCAGTCGAGACTCCGACCGTTGAGCCTCCTACTGTTGAGGCTCCGGTCGTTGAGACTCCTGCGGTTGAAGGCGATGCAGTGAACATGGGTGCCGTTGTACCTGAAACTGAGGAAGAATGGGACATGCCAGTCAAGAAATCGAAGAAAGACAAGAAAAAGAAGCGTCATTCAACCCTCGCCACCGCAGTACCCGAATCTGAACCTCCAACGAGTGGGACACAGGAGCACCCGGGGGCGCCAGAGTCTGCGCCTGCAGTTGAAGATGAGGTTATCGGCCCTGACGCTACGCCACCAGAAGGCGATGTTACCAAGTCAGACGTTGACATGCTGAATGACGCTCAAGATTTCACGGCGCCGACCTCGAAGTCGAAGAAAGACAAGAAAAAGAAGAAGCGTCAGTCTACTCTTGTAGATGATGTGATCGAAGTCGAGGCCGCAGCAGATGAATCCAAAGCAAATGTCAACGACTCAACCACCATGTTGTCGGAAGCCCCAGCCGGCGTAGAAATCGGGGCAGGTGACAGCGTCGCTGCAGCACGCGACCTGGTAGGCGCCCAAGAGATTTCTCATGCGGATCACCTTGCTCTAGCCAACGCACCAGTCCCACAAGATGTTCCTGATGATGAATTGGCGTTCACATCGGCCAAGGCCAAAAAGGACAAGAAGAAGAAGAAGCGCCAGTCCGCACTGGAATCTGCAGCCACCGAGTCGGCTCAACTTGAATCCAACGAGACGCAGCCGGTTGCAGAGACTCTTGCTGAGCCCACTTTGAGGGAGGAGGCCACACCAACAGAGTCAGCTATACAATCCGGTGGGGAGAATGGGCCTGCAATTGTCAATGACGGATTCGATGATTCATGGGCTCCGGCATCCAAAAGGAAGAAGGACAAGAAAAAGGGGCGCAAGTCCAAGACTGATGATTTCAGCACAGTTGATGAAGTGCAAGGACAGAGTCGGGACATCGAAGTGGGTGGGGAGCAAGATCTGAAGCCGCAGGTGGAAGCTGTGGAAGCGCAGGCAATAGAACCCATTGGCAGTGGGACTATCTCTGCAATGGCCGAGCAACACCCTACTCGCCTTGCTGATCTGGACAATGTCGCTCGTGAACCCGAAATAGCGGAGCCAGCGTCGGTAGCTGAACCTACAGAGAGAGCTCAAACACCAACCCCGCCGTATCTGCAACCAGATGAGGTCAAAGAGCAGCAAGACGACCCAAAGCTGAAAGCTCATGACGAAGGACATCCAGTGGGAGACGCCGCAGAAGAGACAGCACCGCCCGAGGAGTCAGCACCGCGAGAGACAGCAATACCCGAAGAGACAGCGCCACCCGAAGTGACTGCGGAGCAAGAGTTGACCGTGTCCAGCACACTCGATCCAGCTCCAGAAGATCAAAGCCTTGACTATTTCAGTCTCTCGAGAAAGAAGTCGAAGAAGGACAAGAAGAAAAAGCGGCAAGCAGCCTTGGAGGAGCCACAGACATCCGATGCTTTCGAGACACCCATGGAAAATGCCACCCCGGTTGAACCTCTGCAGACGCCCCTGGAGACAACTGGAACGGTGTCGCTCTATGACACACCTACGGAAACAGCAGGTTCACCTCCCATTGAGACGGAAGATGCGGTGCCTCATGTCGAGGAGGAACAGTCAGGATCTACGAAGACCAAATCAAAGAAGGGCAGGAAAGAGCGCGAGTCTGTGCTCGAGGACCCAGAGCTGGTTGACGCGGGTGAGACACCTCTTGAACGAGAAGACCCCGTTGAGCTTCCTGTCGAAGGTGCAGAGCCCGTGCTTGAAGAGGACTGGTCAACGCCTACGAACGCCAAATCAAAGAAAGGCAAGAAGAAGCGACAACCTACTTTTGATGATGCTTTTGCCGAACACTCGCCTGCTACGCCAGAGGCAGAACCTGGGCACGACGAGGCTGCGAATGACGACTTTACAGGGAGTGAAATACCGGCGGCAACTCCGGGAAATGAAGAGGAAGATCGCAACGTTTCCAAGAAGACAAAGAAGGAGAAGAAGAAAAAACGGCAGTCGACATTCGACGATACCTTTGCGGAGCCTGCTGTTGTCACCAAAGAACCCGAACCCGTGGCTGTCAGCAAAGCGCCAGAGTCTGTCTCGGAGCCAGGCGTGAGCGAATCGCCCCAAGAACCCATCCAGGAGCCTACATTGGCGGACACGATTTCTAGTCAAGCTCAGTCCGAGGTGGACGACTACAAAGTCTCCAAGAAGGACAAGAAGAACAAGAAAAAGAAGCGTCAGTCAGTCTTCACGGAGATCTCAGACAATCCAATAGTGGTCGATGAGACGGCCGGCGAGGTCGTCGTACTCGAAAGTGAGGAGCTTCGTGAGGCAGGTCAAACCGCAGACACGACGAGAGATGCTTTCGACACAATGCAAGTGGAAGCCAATGAAGTCCAAGCTCCTCCTGAAAGTACCGCAATCGTTGAAGACTCTCCACCAGCACATGATTCTGCTCATCGAGACGAAGCATTGTACAACGATACCCCTTTGGACGCTCACCCACCTGGTGAAGCTCCGGTACACGAGGAAATGACCGCCGAAGAGGTTGCTGTGGCTTCATCTGCGGAGCCCGAGGAAAGTGGTCTTCAGCAGCTCGAATCTTTTGAAGAGCCTGCAGCAGGACAGGCTCAGAGCATCGGCCACCCGGACACGCCAGGTGTAGTGGAAGTTGAAGTATCGCAGATGAGTGAAGAGTCGCGACCTGAAGTGGCTATGACGACCCAGAATGAGCAGGTAGAGCCCGCAGAGCCCAGCGTTCCAGACACGCTAATGACTATGGAGACTGACGAGCCAAGGAATGAGGGAGGTCGCCTAGACCCTGAAAGACAAGTGCCAGACGAGGAATCAGCACCGCCGGCTCCAGAAGTCGCGGCTTCGGACGACTTCCAGGTACCAAAGCCCAAGAAGAGCAAGAAGAAAAAGCGCCAATCAACCTTTGACGAAACCGAGTTTGATCCACAGCAGACCGAAGCAGGAGAGCTCGAGAGCACCTTGCGGGCTCCGCCGACGGAGTCTGCTGCTGAACCGCAAGCGCTGGCCCCTGCGCCAGTTGATTTGCCCTCTACGGACGCGACAACCGCAGAGCCGACTGTCGAAGAAGAATGGGCCATGCCATCCAAAAAGTCAAAGAAGGCCAAGAAAAACCGTCAATCCACTTTCGAGGAGCCTACCCGCGACGCTCTACAGGCCGAAACACGAGACGGCATTGCCGAACCCGAATTGACAAAGTCTGGCGATATCGAGATGCTCGATGCGGCGGATGAACTTACGACCCAACCTGACACGGTTGAGCCTGCCATGGGCGAAGAGTGGGCGACGTCTAGCAAGAAGTCAAAGAAGGACAAGAAGAAGAAACGCAAAACACTTCTAGCGGAGGAAGAATCGCAGCCTTCCACTCCCCTTGAAGAGACACCAGTTGAACCATCCATTGATGACGAGCAGCAGCCCGAGGCGGATGTCACGATCACGTCGCGCGAACAACTCTACAGGAATCCGGCGTCCGAAGTCGACACGGGATCAGACAAGCCCGCAGAAGCCGCCGTCCTCTTCCCTGACGAACAACAACCGGAAAACGGACCACTTGCTCCAGGAGATAGCAACGAAGCCAATCAGCCAGCCGATTCACTCCTCGCTGCGGAAGAATGGGCCACATCGACTAAGAAATCCAAGAAGGATAAGAAGAAAAAGAAGCAGAGATTGGCCCTTAATGATATGGACGTTGACGAGTCCCAGACTGCAACTCCAGCGGAACTAGCGGCCGAGGAAGCACCCATTGAGCAGACCGCTGTCGGTATCTCAGCGGGTTCTCAGGATGAGCCGGCTCTGGAGCGCAAAATCGAGCATGATGAGCTAGGGGGCGCAGAGCCGAAGTCTACCGCTTCGCAGCCTCAGATGTTCGAAGACATGGAACCAGCTCCCAAAGAATCATTGACAAAAGCAGAGGAGCCGTCTTCGTCGTTGTCAATTGCTGAATCAATCGACATCGTCCCTGAGGAGCCCTCAACCATTCTCAGCAGCCACCCCGTCCACGAGCCAGAATTAGAATCCGCCCCGTCAGGAGCAGCAGTTGAGGGCGAGCGCGAACTTGTGCCAACTCTGGACGAGCCCAGGCAGGTGGAGACCGAGTGGCCTCCAGCCAAAAAGTCGAAGAAAGAGAAGCGGAAGAGCAAGAGACAGTCAACATTGGACAACATCTCAGAGCCACAAGAACATGTACCAAACGCTGCAGAAGCACCAGAAGTGGAAGCACCCCTTGATGTGGCGCCGACCGACGTCATTGCCGACGTCCAGCAGTCAACAATCGATCCTACGCCAGGCGAAACACAAGCCCAGGAGGAATGGGGCTTTCCCACCAAAAAGTCCAAAAAGGGCAAGAAGGGCAAGGCTTTGGCGCTCGGTGATGGTATCACGACTCCGGGTAGTGAGACACCGAGATCAACTGATCAATTCGAATCTGCAGCTCAGACGCCCTTGAGCCGAACCGCGTCTCCAGAACCAATGGAAGGCGTCAAGGAGCTAGAGACAACAGCCGCGCAGCTCGAGGCTAACGATGGATATTTTGCTCCAGCAAGCAGGAAGAAGTCGAAGAAGGACAAGAAGAAAAAGTCACTGTTCGCGTGGAGCGCTGACGATCAGCCGGCCGAGGACACATCCGAAGCAGGACCATCAACGCCTGCATTGGAAGCAGAACCTAACCAGGACGCGGACCAAAGAATGGAAGCGGATGTTGAGCCAGTTGCATCAGTGGCAAAAGGGGTTCTCGATGAAGCAAAATCACTCCGTGACCGCGAAGCACCGAAGACAACAGACGATCTTGAAATGCCCACAGTTGTCTCCGGACCAGAAACATTTCACGACCGGTCAGTTTCGGACGAGCAGCATGAGACTTGGATGGGTGATATCCCAGGGCCCGGCAGTTCCAAGCCTCAGGTTGACGATCCACCTTGGGATATCGATGTTGACTTGGCGCGAGTCCCTATGCACGTCGCGGACAGCCAAAAAGACGTGCAAGCGGCTATTGCCTCGACCCCTGACGAGACAGCGGTTACAGGTAGACAGGAACAACACTCAGAATTGAAGCCTACGGGATCTGCTGAGCTACCAGTGATGGACGAGACTTTTGCCCCTACCACAATTCAGGCGGATCATCTCTCAGAACAAACACAGCCGGTGGTTATGGCAGACAGACCCGAAGCTGTTCGGGACCTGGATGCTGAGCCAGCCGTGCAGGAAAACGTTCTACCAGCGCTCGAAGAACCCATTCAGCGCAAAAAGAGTAAGAAAGACAAGAAGGCCAAGAAACAGCGTCGGGTCTTTGAGTTTGATGGGAGTGAGAATGTTATACAGCCAGTTGCTGAACCTGAAGAGACTGACCTTCGTGAGCCGGATGCGATGGAGATCATCCCCAAGGAGCCCGTCGAGCCATCAGAAGCAACGGCGCCAGCTCGAGAACCTCCGCCTCCGGAGGACATGGATAATCTGTCTGACGTGAGCGAGAGCACCCGTGAAAGACGACGGAGACGACGCTCGCCTCCAGTGTGGTCTGGAGAAGAACCTGAAGATCTCCCAAGAGACCGTGCTCTTACCCCACCGCCTGAGCACGACGACATAATGGACACGGCTCTGGGCATCGCAGCTGGACTTGGATTCGGTGGCAGAGAGTCAGAACCGACAAGAGAATCTCCACCAAAACCGAGCTCGCCCGCTCGACAAGCGTCGACCGGCTGGTCATTTGCAAGACTGGCACCCGGTGTCACTACTGCGGAGTCCAACCGTGACAGTGGTGTTCAATTTGACTCGCCTGTTCTTGCCACCGACCACTTCTCGTCTATACGGGACAGCGGTTTCATCCCCAGTCCCGCCATCGCACATGTCGAGTTCGGTGGTGCAAGGGATGAAAGCTCAGGTATGAAGCTTCGGCCTCCTCGCCCGCAATCACCCACCAGTTCCACCGAGGATGTCTCGAAGCCCCAGCCAAGCAGAACACGCCATGAAGAGAGCGCGACACTAGAGACGCCGAGACGAAAGCCATCGCCTGTTGAGTCTACTTCGAAGGACCGAACTTCAGTCTTGTTCAACTCTTCACCTGCAGTGCCGTCTCCTTTGATCACAACTGGCATTGCCAGAAGTCCTGAACACAGCCAGAGTCCTCTACGCAGGAGCCCAAGCATCCACGGCCATCACCACAGTCGAGAAGAGCTCAGACAACAAAAGGCTAAGGCTGTCCTGCACCACGAAGACAGCGAGCAACTTGCATCCAACCTCATGGATCGGTCTGCTGCAGCAGCAGTCAATCGCTCAGTGTTTGATCCAGAAAGTCGTGACCGCCCGTTCACTCCTGGAAGGTCAGCGCTTGGGCCCATCCAAGAAGACTCACCCGAAACAGGCGGAATAGCGCACCCATCTCTAGAGACGCCTCCCGCGCTCTCGATCCAACGCGATGCTGGCAAGGATGATGTCGGCGCTCTGGGCGTCGTGGCGGCGGCCGGAGCAGCAGGCATCGCAGCGGCTGCTCTCGCTTCACGTGACACGGGCGCTAAGTCGCTTGGCAGGTCCAAATCGCGAACCTCGTCGTTGCGCAACCTTCGCGGCAATTCCATCTCTCCGTTCGACCCAGCCAATTTCGCGTCCGGGTCATCGCAGGATCCTGTCCATGCTCGAGATACAGGCAAGGCTGCTGTCCGCGACAGGGACATGGCTGAGATCTATGTACGTCTGCACGCGTCTAGCCCTCCCGCGCGCTCCCCAATACTAACAGCCTTGCAGGATGGCTATGGGTCCTATCCCGGCAGCCCCAGGTCGCCGACCCGACCACCGAGCGTACGGCGACGACAGAGCATGCAACAGATAAAAGATCTTGAGGCCCGACTGGACCAATTGGCCAGCGAGAATCGCGCGTTGGTGGAGGCCAAGATTGTCGCTGAGCAACACCTGGAACACGCGCACTTCGAAACAAATCGCTCTGAGAATGCGTCAGCTGCGTTCAATGCGCAACTACAAGAACGCGATGCCGAAATTGCGCGGCTCAAGCAAGAGGTGGCATCCCTGGTCGCGACACACGAATCGCTGAAGAAAGAGCACGAGCAGAGCTTGCTCACCCTCCGCGAAGAACATGAGCAGGCTCTGACGCAATGGCAAGGCTCTTCACGGGAATTGGAGACTCTGCGATCGAGACACACCGAGCTGTCTACCGGCATGGAGTCGATCGTCAGACACGAAATCGACTCGGCTCTCGCCGAGAAAAACGCGGAAATCCAACGGCTTCGCGACGATCTAGAAGTTGCAAGAGAGAAGATCCGGGAGTTACAATCACAGATCCTCGAGCGACCTGTGGTCGACGTTGTGATCTTCCACGATGAGGACTATTTTGAACAGGCATGTCAGAAACTGTGCCAACAAGTGCAAGGCTGGGTGCTGCGTTTTTCAAAATTCAGCGATCTCAAGCTTTGTCGGACCACCAGCGAAGTCCGCGAGGAGAAGATTGTGGACAAATTTGACAATGCGATCTTGGACGGTTCGGACGTGGACGTGTACCTGGCGGACCGGGTCAAGCGACGCGACGTCTTCATGTCGGTGGTGATGACTATGATCTGGGAATACGTCTTCACCAGGTATCTCTTTGGCATGGACCGGGAGCAACGACAGAAGCTGAAACAGCTGGAGAAGAACCTCGGCGAAGTAGGACCGGCCAGCGCCGTGCATCAGTGGAGGGCGCTTACACTTACCCTGCTCTCCAAGCGCGAGAGCTTCAAAGCTCAGAAAGAATCTGACACGGAAGCGGTCGCGATCGAGATCTTCTCGACATTGTCACGATTCCTCCCTCCGCCGCAAAATTTGGAGGACCAGATTGTGGGATCCCTGCGCAACGTCATGCGCACAGCAGTCGAGCTTTCGATCGAGATGCGCACCCAGCGAGCCGAGTACATCATGCTGCCGCCGTTGCAGCCGGAGTATGACACCAACGGCGATCTTGCACGCAAAGTATACTTCAATGCAAGTCTAATGAATGAAAGAAGCGGAGAAACAACCAGCAACGAAGAGCTCGAGCGCGCTCAGGCGGTTGTGCGGATGGTGCTCTTCCCGCTTGTGGTCAAGAAGGGAGATGACAACGGCGTCGGTGATGAAGAGATTGTGGTGTGTCCGGCACAGGTCTTGATCGCCCGGCCGGACAAGGCGAAGAAACCGCGGAGCTCGACGCGACACGTTAGTGGCGGCAGTGATGCAAAGAGCTTGAGAGCCATCAGCACCCACAGTCTCGCGATGAGCGGAATCGAAGGGAACGAGAACATGTTTTGATGCACATACAGGAGCGGAGTTTGGCTTGATCGGCATGGCGAGGTCGGTGGTTTTCTACGGGCGCGAATGTTTTTCGAAAAGCATTTCTTGGGGGGTTTCAAGACTTGGAAGGTTTTTCTTGACGCCGACACGAATCTCTTAGCCAGTCAGATGCTTATCACCTAGTTAGACATTTGTAGGAATACAGTTACACGAATCGTCATTGACTGCCTCTGCCACCTCTTCTCCTCTTTTCCTGGGCCTCGAAGCGGCACGAGCACCAGCAGGCGAGTGGCAAGTTCGTGAGTGGGTATCGAGAAGCGGAGTCGTTGATAGCTTAAAGCGTGGTCTGCGAGTCACAATTCCACCCACACGTCATGGCAATTGCGCATGGTTCAGCAGGCGTTCAGTGATCGGCTTTGCTCAACACCACCATCCTAGCCCATTCCTCTGTACCTGAGTCTGTCACATTTTACTGTCCCCTTGGCGGCATGAGCTATCCATCGTTTCTCCCACAGCTTGATCCATGATCTGCCTAGCGCAGGCTATTCTGTTGATCGCTCCCTCGAGGCTCTCGAGGCTGGGCTCACCCTTCCCTCACATCTGAATGCAGCCTCTCCCGCCTCCAAAGAGAGGGCAGTCCTCACAGCCGACTGGGGCACGCGACCAGACTCGACCAGGAATGAATTCTTCGGCCACTGCTCCGACTGCAGGCTCAGCTGCGGCGGGCGACGGCCGACTCTCCACGGTCTCCACGGCAGCGGCAGATGGCAAGAAGAAAAGAAAACACCGTGCAGGGAAGAAACGCCGCAATCGTCGTCAGTCATTTGCGGCTCCTTCAGAAACCTCGGCCATGGCCAGCGGTCGAGATGGCCCGACAGACGATCCCCTAATCGAGGAACCACGGCCTCCGTCGATTCGACAGTCGCTCTATCGGAGCAGCAATCGAAACCTCAGCAACGAGAGCCTGGACAGCGGAGCTCTCCTCGACCATCGCGATCAACCTACCTTACGTCCTCGCCGTGACAGCCGGTTGACCCCCTTTTTTGCCACATCCTACCGAAACAATCACTTTCCCAAAGCCGAGTCGAGTACGCGAAGCAGGCAAAGAGGCCAGCAGGGCACGTCGAGTCGTGATGGATCGGACAGTGAAGATGCCAACGATAAGACACCTCTGATATCCGGTGCACAGCAGCACAAGAGCCCCGAACAGACAGGCTTCGGACTTTTTAGGGTCAAGTCCAACACGTCCACCATGTCGGCGGGATCGAAGCAACCACGGAGACAGAGGACAATCGGCACCCCTGGCCATTCGGTGCCCAAGTCAGATGCGAGCTACGATGTCAACAATCCTCCGTCTGTGCCTGGGAGCCCGACGCTGGGCGCTCTTTATGAGGATGTCATGGTCGACGAGGTCAACTTCCTCAACCGTTCGCCTGACAGCCGCAGAAATCTTGCCGGTGGGAACAAGGATGTCTTGATTGACATCGATGGTGATGTTGACGATGAACCCAACTCCGCACCACCGAGTCCGCGACTGAGACCAGGGGGTCTTCAACGACACCGTTCAACGACCATGAACGCCGAGGCGGACGTGTGCTTCCCAGCCGAAGATGCTTCTGAAATAGGCGATCCTTTCGACCGCTCGCAGTCTCAAGGGCATTTCGCAAGTGGTCAACGACGGAGACGTCGTCAACGGGAAGACTGGCCCAAGTTATGGGTGCTCGACGAGTGGGCTCGAGAGGAAAAGGAAGCAAGGGCCGCAGGTGAACGTCGGGCAAAGAAAATCAGCGAGCCGGTCTTTGTCGAGGGTAGACTACGTCCTCGTAAGAGTGCCTGGCATCGGGTCGAAGAAGACAAGCAATATCGGTTTACCTATTTCAACGAGGACTTTGGGAGCACGATCCACGCCGAGACGATCTCAGAGCTGGTGCAGCCCGATGGGAGTTTCCGCGAGCTCTTCATCCCGGACCCGCCTGAGATAGCCGATTCCAGCGAAAGTGAAGACGACGATGTCCTGGATATGACGAGTGCCTTGCAAAGCCCCAAATCCACAACAGCAATCGAGAAAGAGTCAGGATTGCCCAGCCTAGCGGGTTCACTGAAACCAGGCGCGAGTGGAAAGAGTTCAGATAAGAGCAAGAATTCCGGAAGCGCCACACCACAAAACAGGCATTCGTCAATGCAAGCGCCCAGGCCCAAGAAATATGGACCGCGTCCGACATTCTGGCTCGACGTCTTGTGTCCCACCGAGACGGAGATGCGTGTCCTAGGCAAGGCATTCGGGATCCATGCGCTCACAACCGAGGACGTCTTGATGCAAGAAGCGCGAGAAAAGGTCGAATTGTTCCGCAACTACTACTTTATCAACTACCGGACCTTTGAGCAAGACCCGCATAGTGAAGACTACCTGGAGCCCATCAACATGTACGTCTGTGTGTTCGGGTACGGGATCATCACCTTCCATTTCTCTCCGATTCCGCACCCTGCGAACGTGCGACGGCGCATTCGGCAGCTCTCGGACTATCTTGTCCTGAGCGCGGATTGGATCTCGTATGCGATCATCGATGATATCACGGACGTCTACGGCCCCTTGATTACACATATCGAGCAAGAAGTCGACGCCATCGACGACCTCATTCTTCGAGCGTTCCAAGACACCGCTGCCCTGTCGGGAGAATATGGCGAGAAGGGAATCAACGAGAAGAGCACGGACGAAGGAGACTCGGGTGTGAGTGGCATTGACATGTTGATCAGAATAGGAGAATGTCGCAAGAAGGTCATGTCGATGTATCGCTTGCTGGGGAACAAGGCCGACGTCATCAAGGGGTTTGCGAAACGCTGCAATGAACAGTGGGAAGTGGCGCCCAAGTCGGAGATAGGCTTGTACCTCGGTGATATCCAGGACCACATTTTGACCATGACCGGCAACCTGTCGCACTATGAGACGTTGCTGAGCAGGGCGCATGGCAATTATCTCGCTCAGGTCAGCATCCACATGAACGAGAGGCAGGAGAAGGTATGTACACTCAACTCGCTACCAAGAGCACGAAGCTAACTGATTCGCCAGACTGCCGACGTCCTGGGCAAATTGACTGTGCTGGGGACGATCGTCCTACCCATGAACATCGTGACCGGCATGTTTGGCGGAAACTTCAAAGTCCCTGGTCAGGACGTGGATAACTTGTGGTGGTTCTGGGGCACTACGGCGGGATTGCTCGTCTTTGGCGTCATCTGCTTCTGGTGGTGCAAAAAGGTGTACAAGATTGTGTGATGCGGGCCGATTGGATACGATGATAACCAGGGTGTTGACCGCCAACCGTGCGAGAAGGATCTCGTTCTTCGGACTGGTCAAGTAGGTATAACCACGATGCTCGTCCGGTAGTGGAAAGGGTCAGCCTATCATTCGACATACCGAGTAGTGCGCAGCAGCTGAGGGTCTAGTATCACCGGTACGGGACCTTAGTATGCACATAGCAAAGAAGTAGTAAATCAGGGAACCATGTACTGGCTGCACAATAAGTCGCAGTACGTGCTGCTGTCGATAATTCCGCATAATGCCACTTTCTTCCGTCGCAGATGGGTTTATGGCAACGTGAAGGTGGGCACGAGCTGACGAGGCTGAGGAGGAAGCTTGCTCCGGAAAGGAACCACCCCACAGCACGTTAGTGTATACCACATACAGATGTAGATCACCAATTCATGCTAGTTAGTAGCATGTATCGAACCAGTTGCACATGCCACTCATATCATGTCATGGCATGTCATATCCTGTTGTGTCGTGCGCCGGCTGTCCAAAGTCCATGTGTGTCCGTACAGAGTGTCGTGCACGTACATGCAGGTCTCGCCCGTTGACTACAACCCAGGGACCTATATTGGGAACCCCCACGAAAGCTGTGCTAATTCGCGCGAGACGGGCTGGTGATGATCCCGAGGACCGACAGCCCAGCAGCGGCAGCAAGAAGCAAATGAACCAGAAATGAGGATTCTCATTATTACAGGTCTGTTTTCCTCGGATTGTGCCTTTGGCCAGCTGTCAGCCATGGCGGGGATTAACGACAGGTATCTCTGTTCAATTTACCCGCATCAAGCACACCGAACAAACAAAACGGCAACCTCTCCTAGAAGCCAGAAGCTACCCAACGGCAATTCCGTACACGTCCATCAAAAATGCAAACATGATGATCATGCGTACCGTTGTGCCTGCCCAATATACAGCTGTACAACCACCGTGCCCCATCCTGTCGTAGCCCGCTCAGCCCCGCCCTGCCAGCAAACCGAGCCCGCCATGGAAAAATGTCATTTATTTTCATTCTTCGACAGAGAGAGAAAGAGAGAGATCCGTTTTCTATTTACCAAACCAAGATCTTCGGCCCGTCACCGCGCCCGGCAATCCAGCTGATGGTGTCCGAGTCACCCACGGGGACGACCTCGCCGCCGTAGATCTTGCCCGCGATATCAGAGCACGGGAACTTCCCGTCGGCAGTAGCACCTGGTCCCGAACCAGCTTCCCACACGGCCCGACCACGGGCGTTCACTTGGATCGTGCCGACGTTTTGGTTTCTCAACTCACCGCTGGGCCAGGTCGACGAATCATCCGTGTCGGCAGGTGCTAGAGAAGTGTACAGCTGTGCTTTGCCCGAGCCCGTGACGTAGCCTGACGGATCGTTGCCCATGTCGAATACCAGTTGGCATGTGCTGTTGCTATACTGGCTTGGCAGCTCGAACGTGACGAGCGTGGTGATGTCTCTGCCGCCATTCTGGGGGACATGAGAGACTAGGCCACGCGATGTGTGGAAATTGATGGCCCCCGTGGAGGCGGTGTACTGCGAGGTGAACTCGGGGAGGATGGAGTCGAGGGGTTGTTGTTCCTGAGACTGTCCTTCGGGAGGACTCGAGACGGAGCTGGCGTTGGAGGGAACCGATGGTGTGACAGGAACGCCCGTCGTCAGAGTGCTTGAAGTGTTGGTAGACGTGCCGTTGTTGTAGGCAAAAGGTGCCACAGTGCTTGAAG